CATACATCGTGCATGGAGCCAACAACAGCTGGTAAGCTCATTGTGTGTCAGTACCCCGGACAGAGCGACTCATTGACCCTGCCCAGGAAACGGATGGCATGGCAGACGCTGGCTGGCTTCTTGTTGGACTTCTTGTTGTCTTGTGGATTGGAGAGTTGTCTTCAGGTGTCTTGACACAGACTCGCATACATTGTCCTGGGGTTTTGCCCATGAAAGCTGGATGAGGCAATATGGGGGTTTACGAAAAAGGAGGGGACCCCCAAAATAGACCCCCACTAGTAGGATTTTCCCCTACAGGACCTCAATAAGGTACCCCCTAACATCGTAAACCCCCATATCGAGATTCTTAAAAAAAAAAATGGCTCTGTGGGCCCTCTCTGAGGCCGACACTGGTGTGGAGCCGTGGCATGACCGCGAGGAAGGATCTCAGACTTAAGTTGGGAGGTTCCCCCCCCTTATACTATAATAGGGGATTATAGTACTATTGTAATCCCTATTTAGGACTGTTTGTATAGGGGGGGAACATCCCAAGATTTCAGAGAAGCCCATTGTGGTGAGCATGCACGCAAAGCTGTCGACTCACACTTGAGCCCGGCAGGTAGCGGAGCATCGAATCTGGATGAAGGCGCAGCGGACGCCACGAGCATAACCCCAACTGCCCCAGACCTGTCTGTCTTGTGCCAGGAGCCTGGCAGGCGGCAAGAGCATCCACCGCCACCCTGGCAAGATGACCTGTGTGAAACCTTTTCTGCTCGAACTGTCACATCGAGGTCGGTCGGCCTTTGCCTGTGTGTGATGCATGGCGAGGGCGCAGGCACCCTGCAGTCCACTCTGCAGTGAGGTGCCCAGCCGGTGACGCTGAGATGAGCTAGCAAATCGTGCTCTTGTTCTTGAGTCCCGTTTCCTCTTGGTCTCTGATGTGACCTCGCTCACGTGCTTCTTGCCAGGTCGTACCATGAGGGTGGTTTGCAACGTCCTCAAAGCTCATGCGCTCTCTACCCTTGCGACTGTACGCTACAGTAGAGCGGTGCCATCAAATCAGCGGAGGGCAGGTGCCTGGCGAGGCATTGTGGCGCCAGAGTTGCAAGTTCAGGCTTTAGGTTTCTATGCTTAAGAGCCCAGTGAACGCCGCGGACTTCTTCTGGTCGAACGACATGCTCTCTTAAGGCCCCTCTCCCCTCTCGAGCCTCTCGAGAATCTCTTGAGGCTCGAGCTGGCTCGGCGCCGCTTCATCGCCTTTTTGAGCCCTCCGGGCCTGGAGGAGACAGCGCGGGCTCCAAGGAACCGATGTGACTCTGATGTGACCGACGTGCTGATTTCACTTCGTGTCCATTGCTCTGCATCGCATGAGCAGGCTAAATTTGCATAGAATTTTGGTCAAAAATTCTGCAGATTCGGAGAATAAGGAAGTGTTGGAGGTGATGTTTCGTGGTGATGCGACAGAAGTATCCCTTGTAAGGAGGTCCTGAGAATTTGTTTCTTCCCCAGCGGCTGATCTTTTTAGGTTCTTTGCTGGCGGCGCAAGGCACAACTCGCCTTCAACTGGCGTGACTGAGGGAATGCCGTAAGTTTCAAGCCGCCGAATTCCCTGTGTCGCAGCTTGCGGAGCTTTTCGACCTGGAGCTTCTGCCGGAGACATCCTGGCCAGAGACCTTCATCAGGACTTGGGAGCACATTGACATCATTCTTCAAAAGGGCTAGTAGGCATGTGCTGCGCTTTGGGAAGGGCGATGAAGGGCGTCAAATGCTGCAACATGCTTCCCATCTGTCAAGATAAATGTTTTGCCTTCAGTTTTCGGCCAGTCGCAGGAAGCGGCAAAAGTTCGGAGATCCAGGTGGGTTTTTTCTTGCCGATCATGATGCAATCGGCGCAGTCCTAGACAATAAGCCAAGCAAAGCTGTTGCACGCTCGGCGTGCTCTGAAAGAGGCGCTGCGATGGCAGCCTGCGCCGTGGCATGTGACCAGGCATGTTCGGATTCTCGGCTCCCGGTGTGACTCAGCGAGAAACAAGCCGCAAACGATCATACCCAGCCGGTGTTGCAAAAGTGTTTTGCAAAGATGCGAATGGTTTGAGTCTGCCTGTCTTACGAAATGGCCGGACGTTTCTCCCTTAGCCTTGCAGACCCAGGTTCAATCTTGTTCTAGAGCCATGTCAGAGCAGGAGTACCTGCTCTTCCTGGAGGATGACTTTCACCTTGTCACCAGGCCATGTCGAAATTCCGCCATTCTGCTGTCGGGTGTTTGAGTCCAGGGGTTCGATGCCCAAGGCCCATCAAGGCCTCTACAGGGTTCCATGGCGTGTACCTCTTAGGTAGTATTAGGGAGGGGACCCTTCTGAACCCTCTCTCAAACAGGGATCTTATTCAGAGGGTCTATATCCCCAAGGGTCCTCCTAATCCCATCCTCTAGTACCCTATACACTGCGAAGATCTGTACAGCGTGGCTTTGCCAGGCCAGCTGAACTCGTTCGCCATCGCTTGGAGGCGCCCGTCCTTGAACCAAAAAACAGTCGGTATGACCCGACATGTTTCGTCTGTCATCGCTGTCAAACTCGGGCGTTTGGCCAGTGCTGGGACGTGGTTGATTTGAACCATGAGCCCTTTCCTTGATTGGACTCCTTGGAGTGGCAGTTGGATGGAGTGAAGAAGTGATATAAAGTTTCATATTGCGTAGCTTAGGAGTGGGAAGCAAGGCGCCTTCATGGAATCAATTCACTGCATCGCTGCCTCAAGATGGCCGAAAGCCCAGAACGCAAAACCATATCCTCGCACAACCCTTAGCCCGGAATCATGTCTAAGGTCGCACACTCGCTCAGTTTTATGCGATTTGGTAAAAGTCCCTTAAAAGACCAGGACGAAGCAGTTCAAAATTCAATGACATGTAATGATTTATGTGTTTATGCATGTGTTTACTTATTTTTGCACTTACTTCTGTAAGTATTTGTAATGAGTTTGAAACCCAAAAGCCATCAAACCCCAGAGAATCAGCCACAGGTCCCAAAGCCGAGAGAACCCAAGAGAACCCAAGAGAACCCAAGAGACCCCAAGAGAACTCAAGAGAACCCAAGAAAACCAAGAAAACCCAAGAGAATCCAAGAGGTTCGACGGGTCCAAAGGGTCTACGAGTCCCTGCTGGAAAGCATTCTGCGGTTTTCGACTGCTCCAGTTTTCATCTCGCACAACCTCGAGAATCACTTGCAATTCCAAGTTCCTGTCAGCTCGAACCCGGAAGTCTCCAAAGAGCCGACCCCAAGGAGTATACTGAAGTGTTCATTGTTTTGTTCCATTTCATATGGGGACTGCAAGGTATAGATATATATATATATATATGTAGATAGATGGATAGATAGATGGACAGGAGTTATATATGGGTTTAATAGGTTGAAGCCGTTTGCAGAGGCCGCGATGTTTGCCCTGAAAGTCGGCGAGGACGAACTTTCGTTGGGGAAGCGGTCCAATCGAGTCCTGAAGCTGACAAATCTGTTTTTTGAAGGCTCGATGGGTTCCGTGTGTGCTGTGTTGTGTTGCGTTCTGGACTCCACTGCACTGCTGCAATACTGCCATACTGATACTCTTACTGATGCTCAGACTAAGTCAACGTCTGATACCAAGACTATGAATACTGATACAGGTATTGATACTCATACGATCACTCTACGACTACGACCAGCACATACCAGCACGATTGCTTAACGCTGAGGAGACACTGGCGGAATCTAGCTGTAGCACTGTTGCTTAACGCTGAGGAGACACTGGCGGAATCTAGCTGTAGCACTGTTGCTTAACGCTGAGGAGACAATGGTGGAATCCAGCCGTTGCATATCTACTCTTGTGCAGCCTCGACACGCGCAGGAGAAACAAGCACCGGGCCGTGCAGCCATGCTGGGAGTGTGTGGGTCTCGGTAGGTAGCCGGTCGAGCCAAAGATGTGTGCATCACTTCTTGGCATTTTGTCAACCCAACAATTCGATCCAGGCATCTGCGACACAAGCTGTTCTTCGGGCCGCCTTTTTATGCCACTTGCCCGAAGTGGGGCATACTTAAAGTCGCTTGTCAGGCAAGCTTTGAGGATGCCGGTTGCACCCAAGCCCCAAAGTGTCGAGTGGAGGAGATGCTGACGGCACTGCAGCACGGCGAGCCCCCATCGCCCTACGCAGCGGGGCCCTGAGCCAGGCATGTCTGATAAGGCAGCGTACGGCTTCAGTATCTGCTGTTGCACGTCGCTTTGTCCCGAATCATGAGAGCAGCTGGTTATCCCATGAGAGGGAAAGATTTGCAAGGCCTGGTACTTCAGCTCGGACCCCGTTGGGCATGCCTTTCCTGACAACTTTTGGGTCCCGGCCTTGGGTGGTGACAGGGAGTCTTTCAAGTCGGGATAGGTCCAGCGCAGCGCAGCTGAGTGTCGAGGAGCCGCCCTTCTGGGACTCTGGCAAGGAGTTTGCGCCTTGGCGGTGGTCTCTAAGCTCTGAGTGACAGTTCAGTCTTGTGCAATTCTGGATGAAGCTCCTTACACTGCAGATCCGCTGGGAGTGCCCCAGAGGTGTGACTCGGATCGAAAATCTTGGTACAAGACCCTGCTTGAGGCTCAGTTGGCAATTGCCCTTATTGGGGATGCAAAACGCCGACGTTTTCCGGACCATGGAACCGAGGCATTTTCAGAGGGAGCCAGCCTTTGCCGCTGAGAAGCCGATGCCCTGGCTGCCCTCTATGCTGCCCTCTATGCTGCCCCCTACGCTGCCCTGGTGTATTCACGCTGACCTGGTGGCTGAAGGTGCAGAAAGATTTGCCTTGCGGTGGACATTTCATGGGTTTAAGCACAACGGATCTGTCGGTTTCTTCCCAAGGTTACCCCTTGAAGACTCCTTGCAAAAGGAGAGTTTGCTCTTGGGTGTGGACAATTTCACATCACGATCTGCGAACAAAGTTCATGACTTTTTGTGAGGCTCTTGTTTTCCATATGCCAACTGTCATCTTGCTCCATAAGTCAACTCAGGTCCCGAGGCGGTGACGCTTCTCCCACGGATGAGCTGGCGGCTCGCGTTTGGTGGTGCAGGGCCCTTGGTGCATTGCAATGAGCCCGCAGCTCCACTACTTTGTGGAATCCTAGGTGTTTTGTCTATTACGTTTCCTTGACGTAGCCTTGACTTCTCTGGCTTTCTGCTTCTTAGCTGTTGGACGCGTTTTTGTATTGGCATTTTCTCCCTCTCTCTCTCTCTCTCTGTCTCTCTCTCTTTCTCTTTTTTGTTTGTGGGGGTGGGGGGGGGGGGTGTTGGCAGCTTGAAATGTGAAGCCCAGCAGGCCGCGCATACGGTCCTCGAAAGGGACATTGCTGTTGGGCGTCCGGGCTCACATGGTCTCTGGTCCACGCCGGCAAAAAGGATGTCTAATGTCGGAGAATATAATGACATCCTCTTAGAAATGCGAAGAAGTTTTGGATTGGCTCATAGGAAGGCCATTTGGACAACTAAACGAGTTGACTAAAGGAGTTGAGCGAAAATAGAAGGAAGTCTGTATTTCCTTCTAAATCTAGACCAGGAGGATATTGTCAACATATTGGGTTCTTGTTGGAAGGATAATGTAAATTTGACATGCCAACTAAACGCGCATGGAGACATTGCGATTTTCTCACAGACATGTGAAGAAATTCTGACGTGCAAGATCTCGTGTCTATAGACAAACATTCATGGGATTCCTTTGGGAAATCGCATGTTTTCAGTTTTCTGTTTTTTTCTCTCCCGGGGCCCGACACCTAAAAACTCACATTGGCCAAGCCTTACTTGGCTCAGATTCCGCAAAGCCTTCCCGATCAAAATCTCGAGGAAATGGGGGGGGGACAACGTAAACGCTGCCCAACAAAGTGAAGCGAATCTCAGGATTCCGGTTGGATAATGCGAAGATATCACGGCCGATGATGTCCCATGAGTTTCGAGGAGCCTCGGTTTTGAGATAAGTGTCGGGTCATGTATTCAGGAAACCCAGGATGTCGTACCAACCGCCGGCAAGGGCAAGGAAGCAACAACACATGAAAGCAATCGAGCCCTGAGCCTCAATCTCTCCAAACCCTAAACCCTAAACCCTAAACCCTGAACCCCAACCCCTGTGGCCAGATGTTGGGGTGTGGCAAAGGTTCAGATGGCTCCTCAGTACTTTGCACCTCCACGGCAGCGCACCGCGACCCCTTCCGCAGCCTCATGTACAGTGCCCAGGCTGTGATATGTTTAGGGTTTAGGGTTAAGGGTTTAGGGTTGGCATTTTTCCTGCAGAGAAATGGAGGTGCAGGGCTCCATTGAAGGTTGATCAACTGTCAATATTGTGCTCTCCTCTCCTCTGGATCTGCTTGCAGCTTTGCTTTAGGTACGAATCCGATGCTCTTCCGGACGGCTACGTGGCGGCTCCACATCATGAGTTACATGGCCCTTCTGCAGGCTTGATGTTCGTGGTTCGTGAAGTCTCTGAGTGACATGCAGTTCTGTGACAAGCAGAAGTTCTGTTGCAACTCTGGGCTATCCTCGGCATGCAAGTCGGAGTTGTGCTCCCAACAGCCAATGAGGGTTTGCTGTTCTGCGGTTTCCCTGGCCAAGATGCTTCGGTCGAAACATAGCTTTGCAGTTCTTTCATCAACTCAACCAGCTGTTGACGTGTTGAACAAATCATTGAAAATGACATCGCCGTCTCGGAGGATGAGCCTTTGGCAAGATATATCACATGGCTGGAGGATATTTTCCGCACTAAATGTGACATTGTCAAATCAAGGTCCACCCATACACGCTGGTGCGTTCGAGACGAGTCTCGATTCACAAAACAATCGCTTCGTCTAGCATTACGTCGTTTATCTAACTAGAAGCGGCTCCGCAAACAAAGCACTGCTGAAAAGATCTGCGCGTTGCTGGTTTACGCATTCTTCTAGCTTGTTTCCGCTACAATGATGTTTTTGTGTTCATCTGAAGAATTCGTGCGTGGGTGTTGCTCTGTGTGTGTGTGGGGGTTTCCGCAAATAGGGGTACCCTTTTTGGGATCCCTTTAAGGGGAATGTATTCTGTTTGGGGCATACAAGTGTTTTGGGAAATACCCATATCAACATTGATTCTACGCTAAGGGTCTTGGAAGCATCGAAGCAAGGGGCAGAGACCCCCCTTGCTTGGCATCGGCCAACGAAGACCAAGCACTGCCGTCGCACAAACGTACCTGCATCGTGACAGGTGCCAGTCAGCAAAGCTAGTATGCGGAATCTGCTAGCGTCGAGCTTTTTCATTGTGAAAACCAGGTTTTGGGCAACTAGTGAGCGTTTGCGCACTTCTGAGCGTGAGAGAGAGAGAGTTTCCGAAGTTAGGGGTACCTTATTGATCCTTATTGAAGTCCCTACAACAAGGGAATGCTGCTATTTGGGGCTCTATATTGGGGGTCCCCTATTGTCGTAACATGTGTCGATGCGCATTTTGACATGTCGTTCGCGCAGGCCGGTTGTGGCTGTCTGTACCTTGTCAGGACTCAGGCTTAGGTTATGATTCGTCTCCACATCACGACAAGAACGGAGTTCACCTTAAACTCCCTCTGTGTGTGTTTATGTGTGTCTCTGTGTGTGTGTGTGTGTGTGTGTGTGTGTGTGCGTGTGTGTGTGTGGGTGCGTGGGTGGGTGGGTGGGTGGGTGGGTGGGTGGGTGGGTCTGTGTGTGTGAGCGTGTGAATACCAAGATCTCACCTTGATGGGTGTGATGTGGCGACTTGCACGCTTTCGTCAAGTTGCCGGTTGGTTTGCAGCATCTTGCAGCCAGATGCAGGACTTGCGTGCTGTGGAGGAAACCGTCACAAGTTCCTATTCGCCATCGCCTGAGCAGATCACCAGTTGTGCCCTTTTGACCAGCTGAGGGTTGTAGCGGCAGAGTTCTGATATGTGCCGCATAAAAGGCGGGCCAACGAAAATTCGCAAGCAATCGGGGGTGGCATTCCACCACCTTTCAAGGCTACCAGCCTATGTGCCCACCTTCCACACATGGTTTGGGTGGATGAAAGCAAGTTTGTGCACATCGGCTACAAAGCCATGCTTTCTAGATGGAACAAAGAGCGGTTGAACAAAGCGCTTGTGGAGAGCACGTTGTGGAGGAAACGTTGTGGAACAGCATCAGAATGTGTTCCTGAACAATGTCGCGCAGAAGTGCATCACATGTTTCACAATTTCGGAACGACGAGCCAGCTTCCTTCCGATGTGTCTATGTAGGGAGGCAAAATGTAAAGGTTGGTTGGGCCCAAATATGCCCAAATGCAGCAGAGGGATGCGCTAGATACACAGACACACCAACGCACGCAAAGTCAAAAAAGCCAGAAGCTGGGCCATCCCCCATATCGTAGACCTTTCGGAAGCTCATCTTTGATACAGATTCCCGAGGTGGAGGGTTGAGCCGACCTTCGCCGTGTTCTTAGCCGCTTCTTAGCCTGAGCCGGTGCTGCCAGTGTTATTGTTTCTTCCCATGCCTACAGACTTAGACTTCCAGAGTGAGAGGAGCTCGGCCTGTCGTTGGGCTTGTTCCGCCACCAACGAATCGATCGGAGGCCTTGTGCGCATCCTTGTAACTTTTGGGGGTATGTTGCCTTGCATGGGCCTTGCAGCATGGGCTTGATTTGGGCTCAGCTGGACTGGTGCAAAATTGTACCGCCTAATCTAGGTCATGCAGTTGTATAGTGTACAGTGTATATATGCCGATGCATCTAACTCTCAAGATTCCCAGTTGAGCGTAGAAAAGAGATTTTCATGGTAGCGTGGAGCCATAGCGAAAAGGGGCACACAAGGAAAGTCACTGGGAAAGGAGGAAAGGGCAGGAGTACAAAGCCCCGGAAGAAGGGCGTCAGGAGCGCTGAGGCGCTGGAACGGCGCAAGGGCCGCAAAGTGTGGGCTGCTGACAAGGGGCTACCAGGTTCGCGTAGGCTGGACCAGACACCAGCTGAACCTGAGGGTCCGCCGCCGTGGAAGCGGCAGTGCGTGCCAGGCACACCGCCTGAGGCCTTCGACGTGAACTACGTGAAACCCCCTCAAACACCCCCGGAGGGTAGAACTATAGAGGGGACCTCTCCGGGAACACCGGAAGAAGCGTTCAAGGATCAGGGGTTGGAGCAGCCGAAGACGCCAAGCATTGTCCTTACGCCTGAAGAGGAACCTCTTGAGGGCCATTCTGTCACCAGTGAGAGTCAAGGGTTGGGAGCATGTTAGACAAGCTATAGACCAACTAGACGACCTGATAAGAAGATACGAAGCCCGAAAGAATGATGCAGGCGTGAGAGAAAAGTTGAGTGACGACTTGAAGAGTACAGCCCTAGAGTTGCTAGTTCCTACAGACTTAGAGCAGCATCTTATCCTCAACAAGGCTAGGTTAAACACCTACGAAGATATGAAGGGGGAGATACAGCAGTTGGTTGAGGTTAAGACGAAAGGGACGGTAGAACAACCGGGGAAAATCCCAGCCAATGGAGGTTGATGCCTTAACCCAAGCCATAAGCTCCCTCATGAAGGGGAAGGGGAAAGGTAAAGACCCTAAAGGTAAAGGTAAAGGTAAGGGTGGCAAAGATGGCTCAAACGGAAAGGCTCAAGCCAAGAATGGCTCTGTACAGAAGTTCCAAGGCAACTGTCACAACTGTGGCAAGCCTGGCCATAAAGCCGCCGACTGTTGGTCAAAGCTCAAGTTGGGAAACACGGACTCAAAGAACAAGGGCAAGCCCAAGGACAAGGGCAAAGGCAAAGGCAAAGGAAAGCACGCTGGATCCCTAGAAGAGGGAGAGGCAGAAGAACCAGCTCAGGAAGATGAGCTGGGTGCAGTTGAACTTTGCGCTGTAGAAACCGCCTCCCAAGGCGGGCGGTGGATGAAGTTTAACTACGACACAGGGGCGGCCCGGACAGCAATCCCTCAGGACTGGGAGAGTAAGGGTTCGCCTGCTGAAGGCCCAGAGCTGACCTTCAAGACCGCAAGTGGAGAACTGATCACCAGCAAAGGTGCATGCAAAATCTCCGGCAGAGACGAGAATGGCCGGATGAAGGGGATCACTGGGTCCCTGGCCCCGGTGCACAAACCGCTGGTGTCAGCCTACAAGTGTGCGAAACAAGGGTATGTGGGTGTGATCCAAGAGGATGAAGGGCACCTCATACCCCGCGCAAGCCCGTTAGGCCGAAAGATAGAAAAGCTGGTAAAACATGCGAGCGCCGAGGAAAAGAAGGGTACGATACCCCTCTACCAGGAGGGAGGTGTCTACAACTTCTACTTGGAAGCAAACGCAGTCGAGGCGGCCAAGGCCGCAACGTCGGGTTTCAGCGGGCAGCTGAAAGCGTAAGTCCCACTGGGACGCCAGAAGCCGGGCACCCTTTGTGCGCCGGTGAGGTGGCCGGACCAGAAGCTCCGGCGCAAAGCCCGGAAGGGGAAGAAGAAGGCGAAGTAGAGGTGGCGGCTCCTAAGCAAGTTCGGTCTCCGATAGAACCGACCGCCGCAGAGATAGCTGAGCACGAGGTGCTTGGACATGTCCAATACAGAGAGTGGTGTCGCCACTGCGTGGCTGCGAGAGGCATTGGCCAGCAGCACCGCAGCCGGGAGCAACGTGAGCGTCAGAACGACGGACTTCCAACGGTGGCGTGTGACTACTGTTTTATGGGACAAGACGATGGCAAGGTGAAACCAATCCTGGTCATCAAAGATTCGAAGACGCAAGCAATAGCTGCGACTTTTGTGGAAGCCAAGGGAACAGACCCCTACGCCATCAAGTTTTGGCAGGGCTTTGTCAAGCACCTTGGTTACAAGAAGTTCATTGCGAAAAGTGATGGAGAACCAGCCATAAAGGCTATGAAGGCGAAGGCCATAGATGGCCTGAAGGGGATTGAAGCAATATCCCAAGAGACTCCCGAGGGAGACCACCAGGCCAACGGCCTGGCAGAGGTAGCTGTGAGAGAAGTGAAAAGGCAAGTACGGGTCATGAAGAGCTCTCTGGAGGAGAAGCTCGGGATCACGCTAAGTGACGAGGACCCAGTCCTTGCATGGCTGCCGAGACACGGAGCAGACTTGCTCACGAGGTATAGGAAGGGAGAAGACGGCAGGACGCCCGAGCAGCGCCGGTCAGGGAAGGCCTGGAGACGGCCAGCCTTAGAGCTGGGTGAAAGGCTTTTCTACCGTGAAGCGGTCGCCGCGGAATCCAACAAGAATGATCTCCACATGAAGATGTTGGAGGGCAGGTACATAGGACACCATGGCGGGACCGGAGCGTTGCTGGTCATCACACCCAATGGTGTGAAGAGGGCGCAAGGAGTGAGACGTTTACCGCCTGAGCAGAGATGGGACGCTCAGGGATGGACAAGCCTCAGAGGCTATCCTTGGGATGTAGCCCACAGAGCTGGTAGGAGCCACAGGCTCAACGGAGAAGGCCCGCTTCCAGTGCAGGGCCCGGCACCAGTGTTGGCGCCGCCAGTCCAAAGGAGACTGTACATTCTGAAAGCGGATGTAGAGCGCCTGGGACCAACCCCAGGCTGCCCCGGGTGTACATGCGTACTCCTGGGAGAGTCGACGCAGGTCAACCACACAGAGGCCTGCAGAGCCAGAATGATGGAGCTTCTAGCTCAAGACGAGAGGGGAAAGGCCAGAATTGAGGCACACGAGTTGCGCCAGAGACGAAGGCCAGAGCCCCCAGAGAGGGAAGAAGAGCTCCGAGTAGCTGATGCGGTAGGTGAACCGGAGGCTTCAGGCGTGCCTGAGGCAGAAGAAGAAAGAAAAAGAGGGGCACGAGTAGCCCGGGGTCACCCGGGACTCTGCCGGTAGGAAAGCAGACGCCGCAGAAGGGAGGAAGGTGAGAGTAGATTAAGAGAGTTAGAAAAAGAGACGGCGAAGCCGATGTCAGCAGATGAAAGGGCTCGAAGAGCCTACTACGACCTTGACGAACCACCGCCCGCGCAAAGTGAACCGAGCGCGGCAAGTGGAATCAAAAGAACGGCCGAGGAGCCGCCTGAAAGCTTAGACCCTAGAGCAACAAGCTCAGGAGATGTAGAAGAACTGGTGTCGCAGCCAGTGGTACAGCAGCAGGCTGAAGAACAGCCGCCGCAAAGCATGCAAGCGCTGAGTTCTCTCAAACGAGAAACTGCACTGTTAGTGCAAGGCATGGTTCGGAACAAGTATAGGGCAGAGCAAGTAGACGTCACCGAACAGGAGGTGATGGATATCGCATCCTTGTGCACAGCCATGGGAGCCGTGGATGTGATGGAAATCTACAGCCCAAAACGGTTTACGGAACACGCGCCGCGACTGGGCCTTTTGCCTGGATATGCGGTAGACTTGTGTGAGACCAAGCCCAACAGTGAAGAGCATTGGGACCTGTCTAGAGAAGAAGACAGGAAAGAACTAGAGGAGCTGATTGATGCAGAAGAACCCCGGCTGTTGACCGGAGGCCCGCCGTGCGAAGCCTTCTCGAGGCTTCAAGCACTCAACCAGAAGCGGGTGTCACCAGAGGTGAGAAAGAAAAGAAGAGAGCAGGGAGAGCAACACCTGCACTTGAGCATTAAGATGTACCGAAAGCAGATGGAAAAGGGAAGGTACTTCCTACACGAGCATCCGTGGAGCGCGGACTCATGGTACGACGAGGAAGTCAAAGCCCTCGCAGAGGATGAAAGAGTTTACGTGGTAAAAGGCCCCATGTGTAAATGGGAGATGAAGGCCAACGACGTGGCAGGAAACAAAGGATATGTGAGAAAGGAAACCGGCTGGATGACAAACAGTCCAGTGTTGGCCGAAATCCTTCAGGGAGAGTGCAGCAACAAGCAGGGAGGACTGTGGCATAGGCATGTCCGCCTTATAGGTGGAATCGCCCGAGGTGCTGCGGTTTACCCGCCAAAGCTGGTAAATGCTGTACTTAAAGGCTTGAAAGAACAAATGGTTGAAGATGGAAGCCTAAGCGCCGTAGATGCGTATGCGGCAGGACCAGTACCCGAGGAGCCCAGCATGCCTGCTGGCAACTGGTACCAATACTGGGACGACGTGAATGGAGGGTACCTGGACTCCGAAGGAGTCCTCAAAGCTAGACAGCTGGAGATGGAGTACATCCACAAGCAAGGTGTGTGGAAGAGGGTACCTCTGGACCAGTGCATTCAAGAAACAGGCAAGCAACCAATCCCACTGAAGTGGGTAGACACGAACAAAGGGGATCACACGAACCCCAACTTGAGGTCCAGACTGGTCGTGAAAGACATCAAGGCCAGGAAGGGCCCCGAGGACCAGCTAGACCCAGCGATGTTGTTTTCGGCTATGCCCCCGCTAGAAGCGGTGCGCATTCTTACGTCCATGCTTATGAGCAAACAACGCTCGAAGCACGGGAGGCCGTTACGACTTGGGAGCTGGGACATCTCAAGAGCCCATTTCTATGGGACTCCAAAGAGAAACATTTATGTGAAGCTCCCAGAGGAAGAGGGAGCAGGAGAAGGAGAGTGTGGACTGCTATTGAAGTCAATGTACGGAACGCAAGACGCGCCAGCGATATGGCAGGACCACTACACTCAAACTCTGATTCAAGCAGGATGGAAGAGAGGAAGAAGCAATGGTGCAGTCTTCTATCACCCAGTGCTGGATGCCCGTGTCTTAGTACACGGAGACGACTTTCTGTGCTTGGGTGACGAAGCAGCGCAGGAAGCACTAGACAAGACACTCCGAGAAGCCTACGAGCTGAAGCGCACAGGAGAGGTAGGAATCGGAGTTGCAGGAAGCAACCAGATCACTTTCCTCAATCGGGTGATACGGTTGGAGCAACACAGTGGGAGACCCTGCGCCGTGATTGAAGCAGACTCGCGGCATGCAGAACTCCTCATCGAGGAGCTGGGTCTGAACAATGGTAAGGGCGTAGAGACAGCGGATGTTAAGAAGTCTGTGGATCAACAATTGCTGGAAGCTAAGGCAGCTGCACTTCCACCAGAGATGGTGAAGCAGTATAGGTCCTTGGTGATGCGCGCAGCATACTTGGCACAAGATCGTGCAGACATAGGCCATGCGGTCAAGACACTGTCAAGAAAGATGGTAATGCCGACAGACGCTGACTGGGGCAACCTGAAGCGGTTGGCTCGTTATCTCAAGCAGTACCCGTATGCGAAGTGGTTTATGAACAACAGCGAGAACCAACCAAGCTCCGTATCCAAGTAGATGCGGACCATGCAGGTGACGCCGTTACGAGACGGAGCACCACGGGTATGATCGCGTTCTATGGCCAGCATCCCATAAAGCACTCGTCAAACGTGCAGTCGACGATTGCCCTATCGACAGGGGAGTCAGAATACTACGCCCTAGTGAAGGCAGGTTCGACTGGACTTGGGATCCAGTCCCTGTTAGAAGATTGGAGCTGCGAGCTGGAGGTTGTCTTGGAGACGGACTCCAACGCAGCCAAAGGCCAAGGGAGCCGGATAGGCCTGCGAAAAGCTCGCCACGTACAAACAAGGTACTTGTGGTTGCAAGAACGCGTGGCAGCAGACCACTTGAGGATCCATAAAGTGCTTGGGGAGAAGAACTGTTCAGATATCCTCACGAAGAGCGTAGGAGGACCAACGCTGAGGAAGCATCTGAAGACACTCGGTGTTCAACTGAGCTCTGAAAAGAGCCGCGGGCACAAGGAACTCCTCTTGTAAAGGTCCCTGGCCAGACTCCGCTACCTAGGCGTGAGAATGAGCCCAATACCAGAGAAGTTTCACTCCGCACATAGCAGAAGAGAAAGTATAGTGCTTAGAAGGCATTTCTGCGCACTAGAAGGGGTGCAAAATTGTACCGCCTAATCTAGGTCATGCAGTTGTATAGTGTACAGTGTATATATGCCGATGCATCTAACTCTCAAGATTCCCAGTTGAGCGTAGAAAAGAGATTTTCAACTGGCCTTTGAGACTACATCAGATCTTGATGCCTATGCCTCATGATGTTAGCCGTTCGAGGCTAGTTTGCAAACCAATGCCACCAAAATGTTTGGGATACACACCTGCAGAGCGAAAGCCCTTTACCCACGGAAGCTGCCTGCAGATTCTCTCAAGCTCTTCCCAATTGCCCCCACCCCTTGCGAAGAGCCCTCCCACGGACACAGAGATGCGCAGGCTCATGCCAGATCCCAACGAGGATGAGCTGGCTGCCGAATGTGTTCGAGAGGCCAAGCCTTTCCCCAAAATGTGTTGAACACGATGAGTAGTGAAGGGCTTTCCGAGCGGGTCAGTGTCCGACATTGGGTATTCTGCTTGTGCTGGGTACTTGTGCGCAGACCACTTCAGGCTACAGATCATGGCTTCAATGCATCTGCAAACATTGTCTATGAAGATGGGTGCTTCTAGAATACGTAGCTGCAGGGTTCTCATATTTGCTTTGAGTCGGTGTTTTAGTATTTTGAAACGATCGCGGGCTTTCGCACGGATTCGTGACTTTCGGCCTGTTGCCACCGATCTGCACTTGGCCCACTCTTTCACGCACCTTCAAAACTCACAGTTCCAAGAGACTTTCCAAGCGACTTGCACTCTGTGGGCCCTTCATTGCTTCATTGCTTAATGCCTTGAAACGCATCGGGGTTCCGGTAGTAGTGTCGGTGCGAGTTTTTTCTATTTTTTTTGGTGTGTGTCTGTGTCAGTACTACGTCGTTTCTGTGGAAGTTCGTGTCATGCTTCAGGTTTCCGGACTCTATCAGGTTCAGGTTTGTCTTTGTAAACACAGCTGCTGTATTGCAAGGCACACAGTTACAACAATGCATGAAGGGACAACAAAGGGACTCCATGTAAAGGGGGACCCCAAAGTAGGAAGTCTTAGAGAGTCTTGCAGAAGCTTCGAAGATTCCGGGAGGCCCTCAATGGAGTTCTCTTATAGGGGAGCTTCCCATGTTCTCGTAGGAATCGGGAGAAGTGCAAAGCCGACATGGAAGCAAGCTTGCTGACATCCCTTCCCCCAGGTTGAAGCCGGCTGAAGCTGTGGAAAACTGCTGGCGTCATGCAGTGCGACTTGAGATTCAGCACCTTTGCAGTAAAGGGGTTCCATTGAGTCATAAGTCTGACATTCCCAAATATGCTCTGCGGAAGCCATTGCTGCTCTAGAGGACAAGAGGCATATGGCAACCTCTGCCGAAGATTTCATGTGAATGTGGCCAGGGGTGGCTCATAAATAACCCATACCAGCTTCATCATGTTGCCCATGACAGTTCTATGGTTCATTTCAGGTGGTGTCTGCCGGTCCTGTCAGTGACATACTCGATTTCTAGGATTGACGACGCAGCCTAGTGAAAAGTGTCTTAGGCAATGAGTAGTGACTAGATCAGAAGCCTGAGAGCAACAGTATCAGATGCAAACTAGGAGCAATTTTCGTTTGACGATTTTTCGGGTTTTGTCTGCGAATCCCTTAATGTCCAATTTCAAGTTCATAACAATCCGGACCTTTAGGAACCAAGAGGCCTCTTAAAGATGAATAATTTGGATTAGTGCTCAAAGAAGAAGGTTCAACCCCTTATCACTGTTTAAAGAATGTATTGCCGGCTTTGGAAATCAAAGAGACTAAAGACATCCTTGCCATTCATCATGGGGGTTGACGAAAATAAGGGAGCCCCTAATATAGACCCCAAATAGTAAGATTCCCTTACCTAATTTCGCAAACCCCACATGGCTTGAAGTTTACACACTTGGCATCCTCTCCGCTCCTCACCGTCGGAGTTAAAGCCGCTTTAACTCATTTGGGGCCTCCTTGACATTCGAAGCAGGGCCTTTGCGGGGCATTGTCCAATATCAAGCCTTCATTTCCCTCACAACAAACTTTGGTGATCTGCAAGCCCGTGGAAGGTTTGGATCCCCAAGCTCTTGCGTGGCAAAATCGTGAGTTCTCCAGCTTTTTCTTCGTCTACCGAAGGAACATCTGTGTGCCATTTCACCCTAAACCCTAAACCCTAAACCCTAAACCCGAAACGGGAAGTTTAGGGACCGTTTTCTCAATAAACGCCATGAAGCTCGAAATGGACACTGTGTTGCTATTGCAGGCAACTGCATTGTTGCTTTGATTTTGTCGGTTGCGCAGGCGTTTGCAACCCATGCAAAGCTCCCTATCTGCCTGCACTGTGAACGCTAGCAGAATTGAGGACGACAACTTTGAAAGTTCATGAACACTGATGAAAATCTTGCGAAAATTCACAGGGGTAAGTCAGCCGCTGCATCTTGAGACGTTTCAATCAGTCGTCAGGTCTTCGACGCTTTTTTTTATTTCTGTATTGTTTGGGGGTTACCACCTTTCTGGATACTTGTACTTTTGCACAAGCATTTGTCTTTCTTTTCATTGTATACATACATGAATTTGCGTAGCCGTGGTTCGCATGTTGCAGTGGATGATACTGCGTTGCAGTGCTAATGTCAGTGTATGGTTGTAACGGTGTCCAAGAAGCCCAATCCAAGCTAGCACAACAAGTCTGGCCGGTACGCGTTCCGAAATGGATGGCGCAGTGCGTGATCCGCAGCTTCATGTGCCGGTGAAGGAGCCTTGTACAGGATGCGAGTGTGCTCACGGTCTCGAACGCTAGGTTTCAGGTTGTCTTTAGGAACAACGTGCATGAGCCAAGTCGCTATGCCTACTGCGGAAAGGAGATTCGGCGGCTGAAGTATCCCGAAGAGATCACCCCCGAGCTCTTCGAAGAGTTTGCTGCGAAGAGCGAGCCGTTGATCATTGAAGGCCGTGCATGGCCATGCCTGGATCTGCCACAGCAAGATACTCTTGATAGCTGCGCATCTCATTTGGTTGCCAGCGGCTCGGACCCATAGGAACTCTGCATGGCAACTTTATCCAAGAGTGTGCACATGGTCGGCGTGCGTCGCGCGTCGGCACAGCACGCAGCACTTACTTGTCGAAATCGCGGCCACCTCGTTTGCATCGCGCACAAATGTTTGCGTCGTTCTGCGTGCCGAATCGCGCTCTCGCCTGGGTCCTATGCATCCCGTGCATATCAAGTGGCAGGCAAGGGCGTTGTAATCAGAGGCGTACTCTTCGACCTCTCGGACTGTTTGGGGTCAATGAGGGTATGACTGCGGTGACAAGATGGGCAGCTGGTGTCAAGATGTGTCGCGCTTTTGACCACAACGGAAGGCTTGATCGCCGACTGGCCAGCGTTTGCCGATGCAGAGCGCAACTGGCGGGAGAGCCGCTGGGACCTCTTGGAAGACGAGGCCAGGGGCCGTACACAGCAATGGCATGATTGCGGCATAATTGGCATCGATGTGCAAAAGTCAGCAATGTTGCTGGCCACCCCTCCCGGTCAGCCGATGTCGCTCAGGGGGGGTTTCTAGGGAGGTCCCTTTGGGGGATCCTTAAATTGGGCGTCTGGGGTGCCCTTCGAAAGTGCCTCAGCAGCCTTTACGAGAACCAAAGCTCACCATTTTTGTCCCACCGAAGGGATAGCGGTTGGGGAAGCTGGTGGTGCCTCCCTGCATAGCCGAAAGCCTGCAATCAAGAGGGAGCTTTCTTCCAGCTTCCACACTTCTCTCTGTTTCTCCCACTCCTTGTGCCTGCTTGCTGGCAGGTCTTGGATGTCGGCTTCGACCCAGCAGACAGCCGGATGATGCACTTCGGAGACCTTGCCTGGCGTATGTTGCTTTCCGTTTAAACCCTCAACCCTAAACCCTAAACCCTAAACCCTAAACCCGAAACCCTAAACCCTAAACCCTAAACCCCATTTGCTTTTGCTTCACCTCTTGAGGAGACGACTCCGGAGAGCCCGGCGTCCTCTTCAACCCCGGCCGCCTACGGCTCCCTGCCTGGGCATTCCGGGAGGCGCCCCACGGAAGAGAATGCTGATGGACATTCTTTAGGGTTTAGGGTTTAGGGTTTAGGGTTTAGGGTTTAGGGTTTAGGGTTCAAAGGGTTTAGGGTTCAGGGTTTAGGGTGTAGGGTTTTGATTCGGATGGTTTAGTCTTTGCACAGGGTGTTGAGAGATGTCGGATGACGTCAGCCTGTTCACCCCGGTGGCCACATGCCTGACAGCACGCATAGTTCAGCTCCCGGTCCTTGTGTTGCATGCCAAGCCCGGCGTCCCAAAGTGAGCTCAGCACTTCGACTCGGAGGGGCCACTCATATGTCCGTGGTGATGGTCTTGTGGGTTGTCGCGCCTGTCCAAGTTTGCAGAGCCATTACAAAGGCGACAGACGCCGCAAGTGTAGAGTGAGAAGGAACCCATCGCCTTACGATGAAGGGAAGGAAGCTATCGGGTGGCAGGCGAGTTGAATGGATGCCTCCTTATCTGGAAATCGCATGTGGCGATGGGAACATGGACACTACGGACCGTGGGATGTGTTGAGTTGGAAAGTGTCAAAACAGCACCTCTCCATGCTCAAGGCAGGTTATGGCATAGGTCACCAGACTTGAAAGGAAGCACTTGGAAGACGTTTCTGGGTTGCTTAAGGGAGCCTCCATCGGAGCTTCCTGGTTACGGAGTGCAGGGGCTTCACACGTGAGGAGGCGTTCGGCAGCAGAGTACGCGTTTCGCCGACCTGCGCTGCTCAATTTTGGTGCATGAAAGCACACGTTGCCGTGGATGACAGGGGTTGCTGATTAGAGAGGCTACGGGCACCACTAGTGGTGCCGTTACCTTTCAGGGGAGTTTGGCCGATTAGCAGGGTTGCGCGTTTGTGTGGGCGCTGTGTGGGGTGTTCCCTCTAGCATCCCTCAAGTTGAAGTCTGGCTCCAAGCCCCCGTACTTGCAGCAGGTCGCCATGCTTCGGCAAGAGATCCTTCGTCTCCGTGAAGCAGAAGGTCAAGCACAGAGTTCGCATGGACGGATGTCTTCTATCAATTACAAAATTCCTGCAAATTGCAGGAGTGCTTTGTATTGCCAGCGCTAAGGGTACTGGGTGGATTCTGGGAATGGGAAGTGCTGTGGCTGTGCACAGAATTCTCGTTGCTCGGGTGCCTGAGCGTGGCCCAGCTATCGTTGTTGGGTAGCCGCTTTGCTGTGTGTGGCCTTGGGCTACGTAGCTCTGCATTCAGCAGATCCCCGCTCCCCCTTGCCAGGCCGTGTGGATTTGACCAAGCACGAGCACCTTCGCCAGCGCCTGGCACGCGAGATCCTCGACGTGTCTGAGCAGCTGTGAAATGCGGGAGATGACCGTTTCAAGGATAAGGTTCTTATAGATTCAAGTGGGATGTGAAAGCTGATTTGCCCACTGTCATGCAGCTGCCACAACACAGCGCGAGGCAAGGTGTCCGTTCAAAATGTTCCTTTCCTAGCTGTGGACGCAGACTCCCCGCCCCTTCCTTAGCAATTCTGGCTTTGGTCCGGGACCAGTGGTTACAAATGCTTTCACAGCATAGTTTGCGGCGAACATTTCTGCTGAGGCTGCATTTCTTCGCTCCCCTGGAGTGTAGGATACGAGACTTAGTGCCATGGCCTCAGTATCAGCTTTCACCGGATTCCGTTTTTTTTTAAGCTTCTGCTCCACACCAAAGTGGCTGCTTGCAAGGCCATTGTCGTTTTACTTATCCCATGACACCTTTGCCCTACCGACGGAGATGCAGAAGGATCGTCTGGAGTACAGTTGCAAGCATGCAACGTGAAATATCCGAGTGGTCGAGGTGAGAGAACGCAGTTCGACAAAGTTTGACAAGTGTTGACCTGAAAACCCTAAAACCCTAAAACCCTAAAACCCTAAAACCCTAAAACCCTAAAACCCTAAAACCCTAAAACCCTAAACCCTAAACCCTAAACCCTAAACCCTGAACCCTAAACCCCAAACCCTCCTTGCAGGACTTGGGCCCGCAGGCCCCGAGAAGTCTGCAAAGTTTCCGTCTTGAAGAGGGGGGCTTTTCAGGGGCCTTGCAGCTGAGCGTTTGCAGATTTTTACTAGGTAGGCCCTTGGGATATTTTATATTTTCCCTTATTGGGTTTAAGAGGACCATATTTAGGAATATTTTTCAGAGGGTTTGAAGGGCCATCCTAGTTTAGCGTCCTTGCAATGGCAGGCCCCAAAGCTGATTGCCGGCTGGGCCAGCCAGAGATCTCAGGAGACAGGAGATGTCAGATTCAACCTGCATTCCATTTACAGTTCTTTTCTTGTACCGCGTTCTACATTGCATGTTGATGTATTCTGCTGAAGTGCAAGGTCCAAACTCCTCGCGCATTTGGGCGACGAATGGGGCACCATGGCCACTGCCTTACTGCGAGCGTCCAATATCTCAAAGCTTGACTGCAACTTGCCGAATTTCATCGGGGAAGCCCTGAACCCTAAACAGTAACCCTAAACAGTAACCCTAAACAGTAACCCTAAACAGTAACCCTAAACAGTAACCCTAAACAGGAACCCTAAACAGCAACCCTAAGCCCTACATGAGGCGGGTCCCGTACCCTCCATGGAGCGACACAACAGTGCCTGAGCCGAGTCAGGACCTGAACCTGATTAACTTCTCCCGTACGTGGACTTGTGTGTGGTTTAGGGTTTGGGGTTTGGGGTTTAGGGTTAGGGTTTAGGGTTTAGGGTTTAGATCAGGACACCATGATATACAGCTGCTTCCACTGCGACCGCATGGACCTCCTTGCAACAGGGATCTTCGGATGTTTGGCGAGAGGTCTTGTCACGACCAGCATCATTATGTTGGCATCTTGAATCCTTGAAGTTGCAGCAGGAGAACTTTCATTCTCTGCTTGCGGGAGAGAAGCAGGACGCCACATCTGTGTGCCTAAGCCCTAAACTCTATAAACCCTAAACCCCAAACCCTAAACCCTAAACCCTAAGCCCTAAACCCTAAACCCTAAACCTTTTCGCAGCCAGGTTGTTTTGGTTCCTCCGGGCCAACATGATGTTCTGAACTCCACAAGGTATGCCACACAAAAGCAGCTTGACAGCAGAAAAGGTATCAACCGCCTAGATGGATGTTTTCTTTCGAGACATTCCCTTGCACGCTGACTTAAGGCAGTGGTTGTTAGCACCCGTGTCTGGTTCCCAACGCTACCTCGGCTCAACGCTGCGGTCGCCTTGGAGCTTTGCGTTCCCGTTTGAGTAGTGCTGTGCAGAATGCGCACTACCTAAACCCTAAACCCTAAACCCTAAACCCTAAACCCTAAACCCTAAACCCTAAACCCTAAACCCTAAACCCTAAACCCTAAACCCTAAACCCTGAGCCCTAAGTCACGATGTCAGGGTTCTACCAGGTTCACCTCGAAGCAGACGGAGTGCACCAGTGACCAGAGTGCCGTGCACCCTTTCCGCTCGGCGGAGGCGAACCGCAAGGCTGGAAAATTCACGTTTAGGGTTTAGGGTTTAGGGTTCAGGGTTTAGGGTTCAGGGAAGTTCAGGGTTTAGGGTTTAGGGTTTAGGGATGTCCATCCTTAGACTAGCACTCCTTAATCGGTATTATTAAGGACTGCTGGTATAGGGGGTAACATCCCAAGCCACATATTTTTTGTAGGTTTCACGTCCTTTGTGACCTTGGGGGGATATCTTGAACGATGGCCTTCAAGACCGGATATGCTCACTTCCCATCATGCACCGAAGTCGCCTCCAGGGTTCAGGGTTTAGGGTTTAGGGCTTAGGGTTTAGGGTTTAGGGTTTAAGGTTTAGGGTTTAGGGTTTAGGGTTTGGAGGAAACACATGGACACCAGCAACAACGAGCTTGTCAGACGGTGGAATTGTGGCAGGTCTCGCGAGGGCAGTGGCCCGACCACGTGGATTTCCCCGTGCGCCGTGGCACGCTGAGGAAGGGAGACACGTGGGCAGCCCCAGAGCGAGTGGATTTCAGCTTGCACCGCAAGCTCAGTGGTGCTCAACGACCGGTCCTAAACCCGAAGCCGGTTTCCTGAGGGTTTTCTGAGGGTTTTCTGAATGTTTTCTGAGGGTTTTCTTAGGGTTTTCTGAGGGTTTTCTGAGGGTTTTGATTTCTGGATTAGGAGCTTCGGCTTGAAGCAGAAGTCGTCGATGCAGCAGCTTTTGCAAAAACCCGAAATTGTCTTGAAGCAAAGAGAGGCCATCTTCCCCCCCAATGCGTGCGCAAATGTGCATGTTCCTAGGAATAAGGCATGTATACGCGTATCAGACTTCAACTGCCTCTACAGGTCCATTTTGGCTCAAGTGCCTCAATCTGTCAGCTTCAGTCTCATCCTCTTCGCAGCAGATACAGGCCATGGCAGCCTCCAGCTGGGTCGACCAGGTTCATGCAACAGAGCAGCTGTGGATAGACCTGATGAGTCTTGACGGAGACCTGTTGGTGGAGAGCTTGGCCAATCTGCCGACAGACCTTCATGGCAGACTGGAGCAGGTGTCAGAGTATGCCAGCCGCGTCAGGAACAGTCTAGACCACGGCACGCAGCTGGTGGTGGATACCGGACTTGGCACTGCCGAATGGCGTTTGAAGCCCTCTTGGATGAAGAAGTCGATGCTCAGTCCGAGGCGCCTCCCGCAGCCTGGGAGACGTGGCAGACAGTCCGGGCACAGCCGCAGACAACGCCAGCCAGTCTCAAGTTCCGATGGTCAAGCCGGCTGCGATCGCCTCAGGGACACCAGCCGCGCCACAGCCCGGAGCCACTGGACAGTTTAAGCCTCAGCCCATGCCCAGTCCTGCAGGTCGGCCTTTTGGGGCGGTCAGTAAGGCAGAGGGTAAGGTGCCTTCGAAGGCACCGCCGGTCAAGGCAAAGCCGTCTCAGCCACAACCACAGCCGTCTGCAGCCAGCACTCAGGTCCAGTCTCCGCAGGCCCACACATGTGAAAAGTGACCTGGCCAAGGGGCGCAAGACGTTTGTGGCCACGGAGTTTGTTCCAGGAGGCATCGCTTGGGATGGCGTGTAAGGGCTTGTTGCCATCTCCTGGAGAACATGTCCGATGCACTTGCGTTAGTGAGAACGTACTCTCATGACTTTTGAGTCCACATTGTCGCAGCTGAACATTTGAAATTGTCTGACGGGGGGGCACGTGTCGTGCCGCTTGCACCAAAGCGTGTTGCTCTAAGCCCCGTTTTTGAATCCATCCCGCAGGCCTAGGTATCAGAGAGTCGGGGTCTCAAGATGCCGCAATCTGTCCACAGGAGCCCGAGCCTGGTGAAGAGCAGCCGCTGTCGCGATGTCCTCAGCTTCCTTATTCCGAGCAGCTGTGAAGGGCTTCCAGGTTGCCAATAACTCAACAGGTTTGACGGTTTTGAAGCTTGCGAGGATTCCAAGTAGGATTCCAAGTGTTTTAAGATTCGTCGGTTCTGGACCCCGCCTATTCTAGACCCCCCACCCATCCCGCCCCCCACACATGTGAAAAGTGACCTGGCCAAGGGGCGCAAGACGTTTGTGGCCACGGAGTTTGTTCCAGGAGGCATCGCTTGGGATGGCGTGTAAGGGCTTGTTGCCATCTCCTGGAGAACATGTTTGATGCACTTGCGTTAGTGAGCACGTACTCTCATGATGGGGGCACGTGTCGTACCGCTTGCGCCAAAGCGTGTTGCTCTTAACCGCGTTTTTGATTCCAATCCTGCAGGCCTAGGTATCAGAGAGTCGGGATCTCGCGATGCCCCAATCTGTCCACAGGAGCCCGAGCTTGATAAAGAGCAGCCGCTGTCGCGATGTCCTCAGCTTCCTTATTCCGAGCAGATCTGGCTGTGAAGGGCTGCCAGGTTGCCAATAACGGCCCCCAGCCCCAGTGTCCCAGGACAGCCGCCGGCAAAGGAGCCCGCTGTGCGTCCTCCGACAGTTTTGCACAGCCGAAAGCTCAGCCACCTTTTCAGCCAAACATAGTTGCTCTGAGTCACTTTCCCAACAGCCTCGTGGGTTTTAACTCAGGGATATACTTCGCGCACTGGTCTGCAGTCGGGGCCCGGGGGCTGTTCAGCACTCGCTTACAGTCATGGTTCGAACGCTTGTTGCTGCCAGGCCCTCACAGACTGACTAAGGTGGTTGTAGTCTGCCTTCTCAGTCTCTTTCAGCTCAGACCTCTGTTCCAGCCGCCTCAAGGGCCTAGACCCCAACTTCAGGGCCAGCCAGTTTGCTTTAACCATAGCTGGCAGACTGACTTAGGCCTCAGCTGTCGTTGTGGTCTCCACATCTGCGTGAAGTGTCGCAGGGACCACTCCTATGCAGCCTGCGACAAGTGACACAGCAGCCCCGAACCAGCAGTCCCAACTGCTCAGGTTGCAGTCGCAGAACCAGACGCTCCAGGCCGCTCTGAGCTTCAGCCACGGCCTGTTGCGTCCGAAGTGTCAGAGCAGCCTCAGGCAGCTCACGCAGTCAGTCAACCACTGAAGGAACAGCCAGAGGTTGCACAGCCAGACTGTGCAGACAGCGAGGTCTCAGCAGTCTGCCCTAGCGGCAACTGCGCTGAGGTTCCCGGCCCGAGCTCAGGCTTGCAACACCAGTCTGGTGCCGCGCTAGGCAGCACCAGGGGGCCTCCGCCACCGTCTCTGACAGAGCCCAGCCCTAAGCACGAAGCCAGGTCCTATGGAAACAGACAGTTGGGCTCCCTTTTTCTAGAGCTGTTTGCAGGCACAGAGCGCATGTCTAAGGCATTTGCTCGTGTAGGCTTTCAGGTTATTGCAGTCGACTCAGTCCAGGCACAAGCCGTGCCCTCCCTAGCCCGTGACCTTTCCAGACCAGCGAACCAGAAGATCGTTTTTGATTTGATCAAGTCTCAGCGCCTTGCGGCTGTGCATCTGGCACCGCCTTGTGGCACCAGCAGCCGTGGCACCTGGATTGCTGACCGATGTGAGATGCAGGATGTTGGCTGGGGTTTCATCCCGCTGCATCTTCCAGGCGCGGATGAGAGCTACACACTACAGCAGTGTCTCGACTTTTGGCATCGTCTGCCTTCGAAGATCTGGGGAGACCAAATAGTGTTTGCCTGCGTTGCTCAGCATGAAACACATGTTTGCTTTGCGCTTCAACGTTTTCAGCAGTCCTCGGATTTCATGATGCGGTATAATGGGTGCATCTCTGTGGAGCGCAGGTATCAGCTTCCTGTCATGTCAGTGGATGGCTTACGGTGGCACTCCTTCGAGGCAGCTCCTTTGAGCTTGAGTCGGACGGGTCTTCAGCAGATGACGTACAGCTCTTGCAGAGTGTCAGCCACAGCTTGGCTTTGGTGGCAGGCAACAAAGACTTTGAGTTTTTGACCAATGCCAAAAGTGGCGTTGTTCATGTCTGTCGCGTCAACCATGATCGCTTGCTCTGCGGACGCACAGTTTTTGCAGGCCTCAAGGTCACGCAGACAGTTGATTTTTCCAGAGTTCAGGCATGCCTGACATGTCAGTCTGTTGCAGATGGCCTCATTGATGGACAGTGGGCCAGTACAGACGAGGCGTAAGTTTCGTTCTGCCCTTTCTTGTCTTGAACGGTCGGTTTCAGCCCCAGGCTCTCTCAGTCTAAGAGAGCCGAGTTCTGTTGCATTGCGCCGGGTCGCAAGACAGACTTGGTCAGCCGGTGCTCTCAGACGGAGGACGGAGGACAGTGCACCCCACCTTCGAGAAAAGGTCTCCCTGCGTACTCTCTCTCTCTCTCTCTCTCTCTCTCTCTCTCTCTCTCTCTCTCTCTCTCTCTCTCTCTCTCTCTCTCTCTCTCTCTCTCTCTCTCTCTCTCTCCGTAGAGTGTGCTGCAGTAAAAATTAAGCGATATCAGAGCAGTAGACGTAAACGAAGCCACGGGTTACTTTAAGGATACATGTTTGAACGCCTTCGCTGTAGTCTGTTGACTGCGCTGCTGCTGACCCAAGCTTGCAGAAGCTGCTCTGACAGTGGCCATGAGTGCAATGGCACAATGGCACACATGGGAACTTCCCAAAATGGGGTTACCCTTAATATATCCACAAATAGTATAATCCCTATTATAGGAACCCTCAAAATGGTACCCCTATTTTCGTAAATCCCTAAATGACGCAAATGGCACAAGAACAGCCTTTTTGTAAACCACTGGACAAGTCTAAGTACAATCCGCCCATTGACGAAACTAAGGCTGCACAACGAACGAATTCGATGCAATACTGTCAAGCGCGACAGCAGCGCAACAACCTAATAACACATGTAAATGCGTCAGGTCGTGACAACTCGCACGGGCTTGAGAGAACTTTGTGGTTTCGGAAGGATTTTTCAAGCAACCCTTGGCGCCGAGCTTCCCTTGCAACGCCTCAGGCTTTACATCCCAGCCTACCATTGGCACTGGGTGGCGACGTCCACGCCGCCTGCCATGGGCATCCAGGAATGCAAGGGTAAGCCTTCAGAATGCATGTCTCAGACTTTTCTCGGTGCCAGTGATGCATCATGCGAAGCGGTGGAGTGCCCCAATGTTCTTCCTTGGGCAAGAGGACGAGGGTCCGCTGGCCCTGTCTGTGAACTTCTGGTTGATCCCTCAGAGGGCAGCTTTGCTGGCTGTGTTTTGTTCCAGAGTTTTTGTCACTCACCCCATCTCTGGCAGAGCAGCACATCCACTTCGTCGGCAGCATGTTCTGTGGAAACGCACATTTCTCTTCCGGAGTACCGCTGAGGTGGTGGCCCATACACAACGACAAAGTCGGAACCTTGTTCTCGGTTTCAGGGCTACAGAGACTGCGACTTTGTAATGGGACTCGTACTTGCCAGCAGATGCTAGGTGTATGGAGGGAGAACACATGGGAACCCAAAACTCAAACGTCTTCCCACATATGCCCAACGTGCACGATACTCGGGCGGCTTCTGTCCTTGAGGCCATGGAAGATTGGAGCTTCCAGAACGAGTGTGAGCCAACGCCTCATGCGCCTGTGAAGGGAGTGACCCTGAGTGGACTAGGCCATGTGGATTCTTCAGGGAACACGATTTTCGTTGAGGATGTTTGGTGTTCTTGGTTTTGTTGATCGTTTCTAATCAGTTCTTAGTATGCAGGAGGAAGGATGGAAGGAAGCAGTGGAGGCAAGAATGAAGGAAGGATGACATCAAGAGGAATTGCTTCCAAAGATCCGTACCGGGGCGGGGGGTGCCCTTCCCCCACCCCCGCACCTATTTTTGAAGCCGTGCTGGCTTGCTTTCAAGAACTTGCTGCCGTCCAGAAGAGGAGTTGCTTCAAAACCCACATGAAATCCTCGCGATCCCGTCATACAAGCATGGTCTAAATCTGGCACAGTTACATCTCTATTTTCATTAAAACATAACTGCATGATACTTTTCAGTGTAGTGCCACAACTAAGAACAGTATCAACAGAATCTAGGGCAAGGCCTGCCCACTTCCCGGCCTTTCTTTAATGACCTGTTCCGAATGCTCCCCAAGCCATTCGGGTGCTGGGGCTGTGTCGTCATCCGCTAGGTTGACGCGCACGACCGAAGTCACTCCTTCCATCCTTCCACGTCAACATCTCTAGTTTGGGGTTTGGGGTTTGGGGTTTAGGGTTTAGGGTTTAGGGTTTAGGGTTTAGGGTTTAGGGCTAGTTCCTCAAAATTCTACTACAACATCCATATGTCTTGTAGTTTTGGCGCCTGTGTACAGTACAAACAGAACTTTCATTGTAGTTCATGTGACATCCACACTAGTAGAGCAATCAACATATGAAACTTAAATTGTAAAATCTTGTCTGTTGCTTATGAAAAATGTCCATTGTAGATGCTGACGTGGCATGATACATGGTTCTGGGGAGGGAACCCTTCCCTTTCCTTCCCGTACCCCGCCCCCCGATGCGAAGCCCATGCGCGCGCGTGAATTCACACACCCTGCACCCGTTGAGCGACTTTGAGGGTCAAGCTGACAAGTTTCGGGGTAACTTTCATGGAGTGTAAGTGCAGCCAAAAGCATTGCGAGCGATAGTATATTTTGGTTCCTTTTTTGGAGGAGTAGAGGTCGTCGAATTCAAACCTAGAGGAAATCTCGTATTAAAGTACAGAGCGAATGGAGATTTCTAAAGAGAATACACAGGAGATAGAGGTTCGTACTGGCTCAAATTTGGAGGAAACAGCGGCACGGTTTCGCGGAAGCACCGAGAGGAAGCCTCAAACTTCACACCGTGTCCAGCAAGCTTCATTCAGCGCTTCCCCAGGTCCTTTCGGAATGCCCGCATTCCGCTGTCAGCAGCCCTGCATTGCTTGCAGAAACAATATCAAGTTCAGCCCATGCACTGAATCAATCGTGCAAGCCGTGCCTGCATCTATTTGCCCCTTCGAAAGAGATCTTTGTTCTTGTTTAGGCCGAAGGACAAGCCCCTGCCGGACCGCGCGGCCCATGCTGTCTCCTTCTACCAGCTCACGGCGCGACAGAGGCGAGGGGGGCATGGAGGGCGAGGTGATCAGCCCATAAAGCCCTGCCGTGGCATAAAGAGTACGGGCCGAAGCTCAGGCAAGAAGCTTCCATCCCGAAGCCGTGGCCAACAAGCACAGGCTGGGTTGCAGGCTCTCGGACCTGTCAGAGTTGGATTCCTCGAGTTCTCAAGCTCCGGGTGGATAGGAACGGATCGGAACTGTACATGAGATTCTGACGATTGTGGCCACAGTCGTGCCCCAGCACGCTAGCTTTCAATGCATGCCACATTCAGAAGACGCTGGGGGGGGGGGAGGGGCTCATGTCAAGAAGCAGTAGGGCACATCTGTTAGATGGTTCCAAAGGTAGCTGAAAACTTGGGCCAAGAAGGTCTGAATCCCCACAAACTGCCACCATTTTCTGCCAGGGAGCTCTTCCAAAGTCAGCAGCCCTGCGAAAGAGAACTCATCGAGCGCCCGATCCTCGCATATTGCATCTGCGCCGGTGGGTTCCGAGATCTTCCGAGGTCTGTTTCCTAAACCCTAAACCCTAAACCCTAAACCCTAAACCCTAAACCCTAAACCCTAAACCCTGAACCCTAAACCCTAAACCCTAAACCCTGGCTCTCGTATCGTGTTTGGCGAGGCTGCAAACCGCAAGCTCCTGGAGTTTGAGCTGGTAGACTAGCGGAGAAATAGCGTAGTGCGGAGATCCGAGAATGCGCTGCGCCTCAAAGTCCTTGGAGTTGAAGTCCGCCTTGTGGGATTGCTTGGGGCTGCTCATCCCAAAACGACTCAATGCTGGAGTCCTGCGGGAGCTAGGGTACGAGGGTCGGGTGTTTATCTCGATTTTGCCCAAGCTCGCCGGGTCAAGTGCTCCTGAATCGGGCCTCTGGGTGTTCTGAGTCGTCCGCCGGCATGTCGGCGCATCAGCCTTGCTGAACGAAGCTCTCTCCTGTGCGCTGCAGCATCCAGCTGGACTTCGAGAGGTGTCATGATCTTCAAACACGTGACGCGACCCTCGCATCGAGGCTTATGCGCCACTCAGCCCCAACTAAAGAACCCTTGAGTTCCGAGAAAAGCAGCTCCCAAGAACTCTCCGTCAAAGCCCCTCTCTCTCCACCCCTTCAAGACCTCTTACAGCCTCTTGCATGGCTGTTCTTGCAGGCTTTCAGATCGCTTTTTTGTTCCCTCAATTCTGCATCCTTTAAATGGGGGTTTCCGAACTTAGGGGGTACCGTATTGGGGTCCTTTTTATAAGAACCTTAAACCCTCAACCCTAAGCCCTAAACCCCAAACCCTAAACCCTAAACCCTAAACCCTACACCCTAAACCCTAAACCCTAAACCCCAGGGGGGATCCTACTCTTTATTGGGGGTTCTCTCTCTTGGCCTGGTGGCCATGGCATGCAGTGATGCCCGCGCGGGAGCGACGCTCCCAGAGCCGCGGATCCCGGGCAGGCTGCCTAGGGTTTAGGGTTTAGGGTTTAGGGTTTAGGGTTTAGGGTTTAGGGTTTAGGGTTTAGGGTTTAGGGTTTAGGGTTTAGGGTTTAGGGTTTAGGGTTTAGGGTTTAGGGTTTAGGGTTTAGGGTTTAGGGCTGCCGGAAGGGTCTTGACATGCTTGTGGCTTTGGGGTGTAGGGATTGAGGGGTTCAGGGGTTCAGGGGTTTAGGGGTTTAGGGGTTCAGGGGTTGAGGGGTTGAGGGGTTTAGGGGCTTAGGGTCTAGGGGTTTAGGCTTTAGGGTTTTTTTGGGATCCTGAAAGTTGATTCGGGGGTGCTGTGGGGGGGTGCTTAGAGAATGCTCGGATGTTAGCTTTGTCTTGGAGTTTGGGGTCTTGAGTTTGGGGACCTCTGGTGTTGCAGTTCTCCCAGCAGCGTGAGCTCACAGGGGTTTGTGGTCCAGCGTAAGCACTTGGAGCGGGTTCCGCAGGGCGGGTTCCGCGTTCTCGCTCGGCTTGCATTCCGGGGAGAGTTCCAGGTTCAGGGGCCGGCCGGTCAGGGATAGGCTGCAGGCTGGGTTCAGTTCCGGGGCAGGGTTATTCCGGCTTTAACACCACAACTTTAAGAGCCCCATCGCTGGCGAAGCACAAACTTGGGCGGACCTGCTGCTCAAACTCCAGCGCACAAGTCAAGGAAGCGGACAGGCAGTGAAAGCAGGATGAGCAGGGTGGTTTAGGAGACATGATACATATATATATATATATATATCTACATATATATATATATATAAGTATCTGTATATATATATATATACATGATACATACCCTGTGAGAAGTGCTAGGGGGCCCAAGAGGGCATGGGGAGCTGGAACGCTGCTGTGTCCTGATTGGAGGCCTCGCGGCCTTAGCCTGGCTCTCCCAGCGATGGGAGGCCTGGGTCGCCTGGTGGCAGGCCTCTCTGGGTTGAGGGTTTAGGGTTTAGGGTTCAGGGTTCAGGGTTTAGGGTGTAGGGTTTAAGGGTTTAGGGGTGCAATTTTCTGATCACCCCGAAAAAACGGGCTCCGCCTGGTTGCCAGGACTCGCGCCCTCCTGGCGAGGTCTTGGAGCTTGTGTGACTGGGATCACACTGCCAGTTTTCCTCCCATCGTCATCTGAAAAAAAATATATATATATATATTATATTATATTATATTATGTTATGTTATATTATATTATATTATATTATATTATATTATATTATATTATATTATATTATATTATATTATATTATATTATATTATATTATATTATATTATATTATATATTGTGATGGTTCACAAGGTATGTGGGGGGCGCCATGCTGCGCGAGAGTTGCGAGCTAAACTCGGCCGAAGTGGCTGTCGTCCACTGCGGTGAGAGGGTGCTCCTCATACAGGAGGCGGGGCAACGTGCGAAGACTTCACAAATCAGCAGTCAAGCACACTTGGCAAGCAGTTTGCTCGTGGTTTTGGGTTTGCCCCGGACGCAAGAGACGGATGAGAACATCGAGAAGCCCGTGCAAATTCGTCATATTTCGCCGATTTCCGGATGATTTGTCTCATGGTTTCTTAACTTTTCGGATCTCTCAACCCTGCAACTCCTAACCAGGAAGCCGCGCCTTGCACAGCCATTGTTTCGCGTCATCCTTCTACTTGTGAGTTTGTTTCTGCGTGTTTTTTTGTCGCATCTAGATTCGCAGCGTTTTGCAGAGGGGTGGCTTATCGGTTTTGGGGTCAGGTGCACAGTTTTAACGTTTGAGGTGTAGGGGGCAAGGTCTGGAGCTTACGGGAAAGAGGGCTACAGATGGGTAGACTGTTCCGAATGAACAAGGGGGGCGCATTGGGGTCGAGGGGTGGGTAGGAGGTAGGGAAGAGGGGTAGCAGGGCAGGGGTAGGGGGTGGGAGGGTGGCCCAAATGTGCGCATGGTCCTGATACGAAACAAAGGGCGCAAGCCGCGGGAAGGGGGGAGAAGAGTGATTAGAGGCGGGGTACCTGCGTTATGCTCCCCGATACACATCGGTGGATGTCTTGTGAGAGGACTTCCCTGTGCATCATTGTTCACGATGGCCTTGTTTCTCAATTGTTTTGTTCTTTTATGCTTCCTGTCTGTTTTACCCTGTGCTCTTGGTACCATGGGTACGGAATGATTTTGCCGTCAGGTTGGGAGGCGGGCTCGGGTTCGCACCGTGGACGGCTTTACTGGATGGATTTCGCTGTACACTGCTACTTGATTTATCCAAGTGATAGAAAGTGAAGCATGTCAGCCAAACTTCGCCTTTTGAATTTTTCAGTAACTTGTGGCACAGGCCCCAAGGAGTCCAAAGGCACAGCTTCTAGCGAGATGCTACAGTATCCTGTCTGGAAATGTGCTTGTTCCAACATGCCCAATGCTTGGCAGCTCAGGCTGATGATGTCCCCATCGCGCGCAAAGTTTCCCGCGATGTCCAGCACAGTTTCAAGGCCCCTGGTGGATTCACGTCCATGGGCCTTCAATGTGTCCGAAGCCCCAAACCTGAATTTGCATCTCTCTTGCTGCGTTTGTGCTCCCACGCTTGTGCTTGCGCCCCCCCCCGGGGATCGGGGGCTAACTAAACATCCCAAACTTCGAGATCGCTTCCCAAAATGCTCCGCCCCTTCCCCTGCTCAGACTCTGAAGACATGTTGGGGGAGCTTTGCTTTTGTTTTTGTTCTCGTTTTCTTTCGCCCTCTCCCGGGATGTTCTTAGGACCGCAGTGTGGTGTGAGACGGCCTCGTAGGAGAAGAACATCATACTTTGACACTTTGAGAGATTGGGCAACATTTTGAAGCGTTCGAAGATGTTTCGAAGTTTTGCGGAGGACCGAGGTCGAGCCTCCTTCCGCGAGGAGTTCGAGCAGAAGTGGCGAAGGCAAGGTCGCCTCTGTAGGTTTGCCAGGGATCCCGAGCTTGACAAAGTTTTGCAAACGAATCAAGTAGGCAGTCATGTGCAGGAGGTAGGTTGCCGTATCGACAGCAGAGCCTGCAGTGATCGCAGCTTTGATCAGGCGTCTTGGGAGCATGCGGGCAGTTGTGCGAGAATACTTTTCAACCCACGGCGCTTCCTTTCTTTGCTGCCTTCACATGCCAGGCTTCGTGTGGACCCCGGCCCTCCAGAGGCAGGGTTCTTTCCCATGAGGAAGCCTGGTGATGTGTGCCTAAGTGGCTCAGACGTGGCCATTCTCGAAGCCTGTGCAGGGGAGAATCCACACCCTTCGGCAGAGTGCCGGAAGAGTTCCCATCAGTGAGTGGCGGCCATCAGGCCAGGGGCGACGGGGCAGCCTTATCCTTTGCAAAATGAGGTTGGTTGCAGAGATGCCTGGCAGCCCAAACATTCGGATGGAGCCAAGTGGACCACTTGAGTTCTTCATGGCAAGAGAAGATGATGAGCATGGTGATTTCGAAACCCCCGCATAAGAAACGACAAATTATAGATTTCAACAGCGACACAACTGAGATCGATACTGCCAGGCACGCCGGGCGCCCTGAGTCCACAGCGCACGCCGCCGGTGCCTCGGCTGTCGCCCCCGAGCAGTATGGCCCAGCACCTTGGCTCTTCAGGGTTTAGGGTTAGGGTTTAGGGTTTAGGGTTTAGGGTTTCGGGTTTAGGGTTTAGGGTTTCTTCGTGTTCATGACTTGCGGGTTTGATGGAGTTGGAGACTGACAGGCTATTCGAACAAAAGCTGCAAGTGGAACTTCGAGCCAGCATGCAGTTGGACTGGATTTCGAACGAAAGCTGTGCCTGAGATCCTCGTTTTCCACAAAGCAGGAGTAGTGGCAAGCATCAGCTGCGGCGTCCATTGTTTGCAGTTCGCGATTCCGCGAAAAGATGGAGAACTAAATAGGTATATATATATATATATATGTATATAAATATGTATGTTTGTGTGTTTTTTGTCTAGCTGGTCACAACTTGTCGCACTCTGCATGGCGAGGAAAGATGGCACGCCAGCTGCTTCCAGTTCCGCAGGCGCCAAGAGAACGTAGCAGCTTGTTCTCCCACTACACCCGATTCAGCCTAACTTCTTCTTCTTCTTCTTCCTCCTCGCGCGTCCTGCGTGTACAGGACGCGCCATGCTCGCGGGCGCGCCACCTCCGACGATTCATTAAGTAGTCATGACCAGAACGGCAAATCTCTTGATGTCATGAGCTTGCTGTCGCGTTTATGTCTGTGACATACTGGCTGACTTCCAACTCCCATCTGTTAGCATGGTTGAACATGTGTTTTCCAACTCCTTGCCAAGAGCTTCCCGCACATTTGATACCTTATGAAGTCTAGGACTTATTCTTTCTTGCGGGGTAAAGCCAATTTGTGCTTTCATCTGTGAACGCCATCCCACTTCTAAGGGGTCTTCGCCGGTATAATTTACAGCCCGAGAAATGGTGTCGGAAAGCTTGCGTAAAGCAAGTAGCCCCCAGCTGGGTACAGAGCAAACCGTTAGTTCTGAAACAGCTTTACCTCACACTTTATCTCATAGTTTCACTCAGGCTTTGGTTTTTTGTTCAGTTTATGTTTGGTTCGTCTGTAAATTCTCAAGGCTTGGGTGGTCGTGCAAGCTCACACTCAGCTTTGGGTGTGTGAAACGGTTCTTTCTCCGGTGGGCTTGCTTCCTGGGATTCGGATTCAGAATCGGTTCAATCAAGCAAAAAAACGCCCTGCTTTTAAGTTGCAGAGGCGGCACTGCCCTGGCCCAGCCAATGGAGGATCTCCTCGACCTAAGCGAGGAGCTGAAGGCTGGAGAAGGGGGCGAGAAAGGAGTGGAAGCATCTCTTTTTCAACATCAGGGATGACTGGCCTTGGCTTGCGTGTCTTTATTTGCAGACCTATTGCAACCCCTGCATGACCATCTGTGCAACCTAGTGAGCTCTCTAGCGCATACAGTCGCTTGCTGCACTTTTAGCTGATCGCAGCCTGCGCAGCACTGTCAGAGAAGCAACCCGAGCTGAAGCTGCGGCTGCTCAGTGAGTGACGAAAGAAAGAAGAGCTGCGCACCCTCCTGAGGGCCCCACCAACTAGCACATGCAGTGTAACGCAGAGCGTACCCTTAAGCTTGCGTGCAAGTCTGAAGGTGAAAATTGAAATCAGTGGCCTTGGTTGAAAGGAGCCACCCAGTTCGCAGCGGAGTCGCGTTCCAGACCTTGCGGAAGTTCTGTCGGCCGCCGCAGGCACGTTCTTTGGGGCGAAGGGAGAGTTGGGACTATGTTACGCAGTTTACGTGTTTCAAAGATGAAGGGGTCGGGGTGAGTTAAGGCACATTCCATGCTGTCGCGCGCTTACGTGCGTTTCGACCCTGAGCCGAAATTGCCTAAACGGCCTGAATCTTTAAGCATCTTCCCAGGCATCCAAACCCTCTTTGTCCAAGGCTCTAATACTGTTGGCTTAAGAACCCCAAAATTCTTCCCTATGAGGGTAATAGGGGGATAGATAGATAGATAGATAAAAAAAATATATATATATATATATATATATATCATTTTTTTGTGTACTTTTGTGGGTTCTTAAGCAAATAGTAGTCTACCTTGAATTCCAGGCTCCAGCCCTCCGACGCACCGCGAGTTCACTGCCGGCGCCGACCGAGAGGCTGCCAAGAGTGGCATCCCAGAAGCGCCGCCCTCGCGGGAGCCGTGCTGTCCATGAGTCAGCAGGGAGACCTTGTTGGGGTCCGTATTATTCCCGAAAGCATCGCGAAGGGTTCTTCCGTGCGGAGCCCTCTGACCCAACAACATAGAGTGAAGTACATAGAGTGAAGTGCATAGAGTGAAGCGCATAGAGCGAAGTGCATAGAGTGAAGTGCATAGAGTGAAGCGCACAGAGTGAAGTGCATAGAGTGAAGTGCATAGAGTCAAGTGCACAGAGTGAAGTGCATAGAGTGAAGCGCATAGAGTGAAGTGCATAGAGTGAAGTGCATAGAGTGAAGTGCATAGAGTGAAGTGCACAGAGTCAAGTGCATAGAGTGAAGTGCATAGAGTGAAGTGCATAGAGTGAAGTGCATAGAGTGAAGTGCATAGAGTGAAGTGCATAGAGTGAATTGCATAGAGTGAATTGCAATGAGTGAATTGCCTAGACCTTCGTACCCAGTCCTAGATTTCTAAATTAAAATTACTCTTTCTAAGGCGGCGGGCTGGGTTGACATCGCCAATCGGGATTGCAACCCTCTGCGGGTTTCGGCGTGGTCGTGGTGCTAAAACCGTCGTTTTTTTACGTTTCTTTGTGTCCGCGGACAACCCTCTGCGGGTTTCGGCGTGGTCGCAGTGCCAAAACCGTCGTTTTTTGACGTTTCTTTCTGACCGCGGACAACCCTCTGCGGGTAATCGCCGGGTCGCGGTGCTAAAACCGTCGTTTTTGGAACTTTTTTTCGTGGGCGCAGACAACCCTCTGCGGGTTTCGGCGTTGGCGCGGTGCCAAAACCATCGTGTTTTTGCCTTTTTTGACATACAAACGTAACCCCTCTGCGGGTTTCGGCGTTGGCGCGGTGCCAAAACCATCGTGTTTTTGCCTTTTTTGACATACAAACGTAACCCCTCTGCGGGTTTCGGCGTTGGCGCGGTGCCAAAACCATCGTGTTTTTGCGTTTTTTGACATACGAACGTAACCCCTCTGCGGGTTTCGGCGTTGGCGCGGTGCCAAAACCATCGTGTTTTTGCGTTTTTTTGACATACGAACGTAACCCCTCTGCGGGTTTCGGCGTGGTCACGGTGCCAAAGTCGACTTTTGTAGTACGGACACGCGGAGCTTCCGTGGCTGGAAAGTCGAGTTTTGTAGTACAGACGTAGTACGCCGGGGACACCCGGAGCTTCCGTGGCTGGAAAGTAGACTTTTGTAGTACAAACGTAGTACGCCGCGGACACCCGGAGCTTCCGTGGCAGGAAAGTCGACTTTTGTAGTACAAATGTAGTACGCCGCGGACACCCGGAGCTTCCGTGGCTGGATAGTCGACTTTTGTAGTACAAATGTAGTACGTCGGGGACGCCCGGAGCTTCCGCGCGGAGCTTCCGTGGCTGGAAAGTCGACTTTTTGTAGTACGGATGTAGTACGCTGCGGACGCCCCGGGCGTCTGAAAACACCGCAAAATAGCATGGTAACGGACATCTGGGCGCTTGAAAACACCGCAAATAGCATGGAAGCCGAATTCCGCGCGCGCGAAAACACCGCAAATAGCACGGTAACGGACATCTGGGCGCTTGAAAACACCGCAAATAGCATGGCAGCGGAATTCCGGACATGCGAAAACCTCGCAAATAGCATGGAAGCGGAATTCCGGACATGCTTGAAAACCTCGCAAATAGCATGGAAGCGGAATTCCGGACATGCGAAAACCTCGCAAATAGCATGGAAGCGGAATTCCGGACATGCTTGAAAACACCGCAAAGAGCATGGTAACGGACATCTGGGCGCTTGAAAACACCGCAAGTAGCATGGTAACGGACATCTGGGCGCATGAAAACACCGCAAATAGCATGGAAGCGGAATTCCGGACATGCGAAAGCCTCGCAAATAGCATGGAAGCGGAATTCCGGACATGCTTGAAAACCTCGCAAATAGCATGGAAGCGGAATTCCGGACATGCGAAAACCTCGCAAATAGCATGGAAGCGGAATTCCGGACATGCTAGAAAACACCGCAAAGAGCATGGTAACGGACATCTGGGCGCTTGAAAACACCGCAAGTAGCATGGTAACGGACATTTGGGCGCATGAAAACACCGCAAATAGCATGGAAGTGGAATTCCGGACATGCGAAAACCTCGCAAATAGCATGGAAGCGGAATTCCGGACATGCTTGAAAACACCACAAATAGCATGGTGACGGACATCTGGGTGCTGAAAAACACCGCAAATAGCATGGTGACGGACATCTGGGTGGTGGAAAACACCGCAAATAGCATGGTAACGGACATCTGGGCGCCTGAAAAACACCGCAAGTAGCATGGTAACGGACATCTGGGCGCTTGAAAAACACCGCAAAGAGCACGGTAACGGACATCTGCACGCTTGAAAACACCGCAAATAGCACGGTAACGGACTTCCGCGCGCGTGAAGACACGGGGATGTTTTTGTCTTTTGCTGGTTTTTCCAAAACCATCGCAAATACCATGGTCCTGGTTCCAAAACCATCGCAAATACCATGGTCCCCGAATTCGCTGGTTCCAAAACCAGCGCGACAACCATGGTCCCCGACCTCGCTGGTTCCCCAAAACCATCGCGAATACCATGGTCCCCGAATTCGCTGGTTCCAAAACCATCGCAAATACCATGGTCCCCACACCCGGAGCTTCCGTGGCTGGAAAGTCGACTTTTGTAGTACAGACGTAATACGCCGGGGCTTTCAAAACCTCGCAAATAACATGGGTGCGGAATTCTGGGGCTTTGAAAACCTAGCAAATAACGTGGGCGCGGAATTCTCGGGCTTCGAAACCCTTGCAAATAACGTGGGCGCGGAACTGTGGGGCTTCGAAATCCTCGTAAATAACGTGGGCGCGGAATTGTGGAGCTTCGAAATCCTCGCAAACAACTTGGGGACGATGTTTTCGAATTCGCTGTTTTCGAAAGCATCGCAAATACCATAGTCCCCGAAGTCGCTGTTTTCAAAAGCATCGCAAATACCATGGTCCCCGAATTCGCTGCTTCCAAAAGCATCGCAAATACCATGGTCCCCGAATTCGCTGGTTCCAAAACCATCGCAAATACCATGGTCCCCACACCCGGAGCTTCCGTGGCTGGAAAGTCGACTTTTGTAGTACAGACGTAGTACGCCGGGGCTTTCAAAACCTCGCAAATAACATGGGCGCGGAATTCTGGGGCTTTGAAAACCTAGCAAATAACGTGGGCGCGGAATTCTCGGGCTTCGAAACCCTTGCAAATAACGTGGGCGCGGAACTGTGGGGCTTCGAAATCCTCGTAAATAACGTGGGCGCGGAATTGTGGAGCTTCGAAATCCTCGCAAACAACTTGGGGATGATGTTTTCGAATTCGCTGTTTTCGAAAGCATGGCAAATACCATAGTCCCCGAAGTCGCTGTTTTCAAAAGCATCGCAAATACCATGGTCCCCGAATTCGCTGCTTCCAAAAGCATCGCAAATACCATGGTCTCCGAATTCGCTGGTTCCAAAACCATCGCAAATACCATGGTCTCCAAAAGCATCGCAAATACCATGGTCCCCGAATTCGCTGGTTCCAAAACCATCGCGACAACCATGGTCCCCGAATTCGCTGGTTCCAAAAGCATCGCAAATACCATGGTCCCCGAACTCGCCGGTTCCAAAACCATCGCAAATACCATGGTCCCCGAATTCGCTGGTTCCAAAACCATCGCAAATACCATGGTCCCACACACTTGAATGCCATGCAGTTCCAGTGCATACAAGTGCAGTGTACAAGTGACTATGCAACCATGTAAGGGCATACATTTCTCCAAGTGCATACAGTTCGATTACAAAGAGTCAAGTGCATGGAGTCAACGCACGGCAAATCGATGCTTTCGGGCCATCCCTCTTCTAGTGGTAGTTTAGGGTTTAGGCTTGTTGGGGTCCTGATCAATAAGGGAATCTATTTTTGGCGGTTTCGTTTTGTGTGGTTCCAGCAGGGGGACCCTTGTTGGGGTCCTGATTATAGTGGTTTAGTGTTTAGGGTTTAGGGTTAGAATCTATTTTTTTTTAAATTTGGGGTCCCTTATCTTTGTAAGGCCGCACGTGAGCATTGTCCGGGGTAGGGTGATATGCCACAAGAGTGACCAGCAAAATTGTGGGATCTTCCTTTTGGAATATTTGGGGATGGAAGTTGTCAGCATTCTAAAGCGATGGATCGACGGGACTCTTTGGGGGCGCGTCTTGCAATTCGGGAGGAAAGATGCAGATGTTTAGGGTTTAGGGTTTGGGGTTTGGGGCTTGGGGTTTGGGGTTTGGGGTTTAGAGCCTTGCGATGATGCACGTACAAAGATCGGAGTGCAGGAGAAGCGTGGCTCTACCTTCTGGGACACGGAAAGTGAGGCTTGGGAAGTTCAGCGAGGTTGCAGCATCACAGTGGGCCGCAAGACTTCAAGGGGTTTAGGGTTTAGGGTTTAGGGCTTAGGGCTTAGGGCTTAGGCATGGCTCTTGTTGGTCTCATGGAAAGGCTCTTCTTTCGCACATGCCGCGCTTTGAGCAGCTTCTGGATCAGCAGCCAGACGAGATTCAGGCAGAATGCGGGCTGCGATGTGAGCCAGCCTCTTGCTTTCTCGTGCTTCGACAAGCTCGCCCTTGCTGTCCTGTGTATACAGTGAGTCCGCGTGATTCAGTCATCCTAAACCCTAAACCCTAAGCCCTAAACCCTAAACCCTAAACCCTAAACCCTAAACCCTAAACCCTGAAGTCAGCAGTCCATTGGTGGGAGTGGGAGGCCGAACTCATCTTTGCACCCTATGAGATGGAGGAAGAGGAGGAGGCCCATGTGACTTCCGATGAGGCGCGCGGCGGACTCGGGGCAGAGCCGGCTTCAAAACTGCATCGGACGTTGAACAGTGGCGCAATCCACAGCCAACTCGACTTTTCTGGGAGACTTTTGGGAGGTTTTTGGGAGGCTTTTGGGGTTTTGGGGCTGCAACGTCAAGTGAAGACTCAGTGGAGACCTACATAGGTGGTTCCTTATTTTTGGGTACCCTAATTATTAGGCGCCGTATTAAAATAGGGGTCCAAAAAGGGACCATCATGTTGACAACCACCCACATCTTGGACCTTTCTGAGTTTTCTTTGGGCCCCAGGCCCAAGGGTGCTAGCGAATCTAGTTTCGCACGAGTGTCACGGGCAGCTTTCGTGTGGTGGAGTTGCTGCCATGGAAGAACCACAAGCCTAAACCCTAAACCCTAAGCCCCAAGCCCTAAACCCTCTGAGACCCTAAACCTCCAGAGGTGCTTCTCACTTTGGCCGAGAGCTTGCCGCATCCTCAGGATGCCTTCAGAGGGACTGTGGGGTGCTCCTGCGCGATCCTACAAGCTTGGGATGTTCCCCCTTATACGAGCAGCTCCTTAATCGGGATCATCGTACCCCCTATTAGAGTCCCTATTAAGGACTGGTAGTATAAGGGAGAACATCCCAGCATGAAACGCCTCTGAGCAAGGCCCAAGTTGGAGGAGTTGGATCCGCTCGCGCAGGCGGAGGATGCGAAGGCGAAGCATGACAGCCATGCTTCGGAGATGCCCAAAGCAGGCAGTGGGACGTCGCTTGGCTGATCAGCTATGGGTATAGCATATAGCCTCTTAAGATTGCCTGTAGTGGGGTGGACTGCAGCTTTGCCGGGTTGAGTTCGCTGTGTGGCTTGCAGCTACTGCAGAGCAACCGAGACATGAGGCTCGGCACCTCTCCACGTACAGATATGGACGATGCCAGTCCCGCTACTTGGCTGCAGGCCTTGACTCACGCAGAGTGTCGGCGGGTTTGGATGTTTCAGCACCTGCAAACCTAAGCGTATCATGCTTTTGCGGGGAGTGAGTCTTGTATTTTCAGAGTGGTTCTGTGACTTTCAATCTCCCAGCACAAGGAGACAGTCATGGCGGACTTGTTGTCGTTCGGGCCCGTCGAGAGCCCCGTGGACGCAGACACGGGCCCCAGGAGCAGCCTCAGGCATGCATTGTTTTTGTAATTGTTACAATCTTTTGAGAAGTTGTCGTTGAAGCTGCTCGGAAGTAGATATGGGGTGGCGGAGGTTTCGGAATGGCCCCTGAAACGCCATTGCTTGCTGGCTTCTCTGGCTTGTGCTGTTGACCGATGTGTCGGTTGATGTTGGCAGGAGTCCAATGCGGAGTCCACCTATGCCGCTTCCGAACCTGGAGGCTTCCGACACTTTCCTTGCGGCCCAGACCTTGGATCTGGCTCGAGATCCTCGATCCTGGAAGATATCGTTGGGTTTAGGGTTTGGGGTTTAGGGTTTAGGGTTTAGGGTTCAAGATGTCTCAAGCGCTTGCCTTTGCCTTTGCCTTTGCCATGTCCAGACGAAAGTAGAGCAAAGTTGTCCTTCCGATCCCTTCAGGTCTTCGACCCCACGCACATCGGCACCGGCTTCCTCCAAGAGGAGTTTGGGGTGGGGGATGAATTGCAAGTCTGGGCAGCAGTAGATTGGCAAATCAGGGCCGGAAGATGGTGCCATGCAGAATTCCAATGCGGTTGGTGGACAAAGCCAACACTTCAAAGCAAAGCAGCTGACCTTCTGCGCATGTTCCACCAACGTGCGAGAGTGTCTTTTGTCAAAACATGAGCAGACCTTAGAAGAACATGCTCTGCACTCCGTGTGGTGCAGGGAGGGATGGTAGGGTGCGAGTCGAAACCAGAGGCCGTGGCTGGGACAGAAGCCCGAAAACCCTCTGATCCCAGGGGCCTAGGTACTGGGAAGGCATGCGGACGTGGCAGTGGTTGGGCAGGGCGTAAGCGGGAAGGGCGGGGCCGGGCAAGGCCCAAGCCCACACCGAGCCCACATTGTGTGTGGGTAGGGAAGCTTTGGTAGATGTGACAGTGGGGGGTTTTAAAAAGCTAGGAGTTGGCCTTGTTTCTCAGCTCTGTGCAGGACTCGCTGGAGCTGAATGTTGCACCCAAGCCAGCCTCCTGATCTGCACGAGGTGTGAGTGTTGGTTGCTGTCAGGCTCCGTTAATAGTCGGCGGCAGGATAAACTTGACAGGTAAAACGTGCTTTTCCCCAAGCAGTGTGAATATTCCAGGGGCGTTCACAGTAAAGGAGGGTTTCATGGAGTTGCTCGCGCGGCGGCTGCGAAATGCGAGATACGCGGACGTTATTCCCCGAGCGGTGATCGCATTTTGGACGCAGTGCATACTTTTTTCCCTAAACCCTAAACCCTAAACGCTATACCCTGAACCCTAAACCCTAAACCCTAAACCTTAAACTTTTTCTTTTTTTTTCACCGTGCCGGCCTCGAAACATGGCCAAGGGAGCACTTTTGGCTTCGTGGATGTTGTCGAACTGCGCTCTCGCCTCGGCCCCCGTGTGCATTTCGTGGTGTTTCTGGGTGGAAGTCGTGCTCTCGTGGCTTGCATTGGTATCCCAAAAAACTGGCACGCACGTGGAATCCTACGTTGTGAGCCGTTCGATGGGTTCGCTGCCTGCGTCCAGACTCCGGGATTTGCAATCGCGCTTCCAGCTGGGCGTGTGCATGGACGTCGCCATCCTCGTAACTGTCGTCAGCTTCTGGACGTCTGGGTTCGCGAAGATAGAACGAGGACGTTCATCGTTCATCCCAGCCCGCAGCCCAAGGATTGCAAAGAAGCAAGCGAGGATGTGACACCCCGAAGCCGGCCAACTCAAAAAATCGACGGCCGACGGCCCGAAACATGCAATCCATCCGACGAGTACGCATGTAACCCTCAAGCGAGCCAGGAACCCATGTAGGCCATAGGCCTCAGTCCCAGATTTGTCGGTATGGGCTTTAGGGTTGAGCGTTTCGTCTGCTACGAGCACTCTTTGTACTAACTCCTTTATTCCGAGCAAAACCATGGTTCAGGGGACGAAAAAGCTTGACGTGACTTGGAGTCTCAGACTTCTTGGTTTTCGAGTTGGGGACGTCGCCCCTCTGCCCATGTTTGGCGGGATTCTCTGGGCCATATTCTCGTGGTGTCGGGGAAAGGGCACTCCCAAAATGCTGGGATTCTGGGCGTGATTCTGGGGCCTGTCGCGATGAAAAAGCGTTTGCAGGCTTAGAAAGACATTACGACAAAAATCCCAACTGGGGGTTTCCGCAAATAGGGCATACCTCGTTGGGGTCCCTATTTTACGGGGATCTTTTAGCGCCCTATCTTGGGCCCTAAACCCTATCTTGGGAGTTTTCTATCTTCGTGAACCCCCACATGTCTTTCAACACTCCGCTCCCTCTGCCGAGGTGCCCGGGTCTCCGGACATAGGCCAAGCCACAGATCCAAGGACCCGAGGGGCGTTTGTGGGGGTTTCGGGTTTCGGGTTTAAGGGTTTAGGGTTTAGGGCTTTGGGGGTTTACGATAATAGGGATACCCTCCTAGGCGTCCTTCTCAGAGGGATTCGGCTGTATTTGGGGGGTGAAAAGGGGTACCAAAGGGGTACCCGATTATAGGAAGCCCCCCCATTTGAGGTCCCAAGTTTTTGTAGAGGAGTGATGGGAACTCTTAGTTATCAGTGCAGGGTGGCGGGGGTGGCTTCCTTCTGATGGATTCTGATGGCTCGATATGGATCTGGGCTGTCTGTTTTGGGTTCAGGGTTTAGGGTTTAGGTTTAGGGTTTGGGGTTTGGGGTTTAGGGTTTAGGGTTTAGGGTTTAGGGTTCAGCAGCTCCGGGTCGAGCAATCTCTAGTAGAGCCGCTGTTTCGATTCTAGAGAAAAACACATCCACCCAGAGAATCCCAAAACAATAAGATATCTAAAGTTCACATTTTTCATTAGTAAGTCCTGTCCCCCAACCTCATTTTACTCATTTACTCGTATTCGCTTTTATTCTGCTCGTTTTCATTCTGCTCGTATGCATTTCTTTCTGCTCGTATTCATTCCGCTCGTATTCGTTCTCTCTCTGCTCGTATTCATTCTGCTCGTATTCGTTCTCTCTTTGCTCGTATTCCCCCATTCTGCTCGTTATCGTTCTCTTTCTGCTTCATTTTGCGCGTATTCGTTCTCTTTCGGCTCGTATTCCTCTTTCTGCTCGATTTCAGTCTGCTCGTTTTCGTTGTCTTTCTGCTCGTATTCAGTCTGCTCGTATTCTTTCTTTTCTGCTCGTCTCGTGTTCGTTCTCGTTCTGCTCGGAATTCATTCTGCTCGTATTCGTTCTGCTCGTATTCGTTCTCTCTCTCTCTCTCTCTCTCTCTCTCTCTCTCTCTCTCTGCTCGTATTCATTCTGGAGCTTTGCGGCTCCCGCGACTGAAAGTTCCCCGGTGACCGCGTCTCTTTGTGGGCTCTTGGACCGCTCCATGACAGTAGGGAGTGGGGATGTGGGACTCTGTCATGGAGCGGTCCAGGGTCAAAGACAGGCACGGTCGCCGAGTCATTTTCAGTCGCACCGAAAAAAGAAGCACCTAATTTTGTTAACCTCATGTTTTTGAAACAAAAGAATAGAACGTGACCGCCAAGAGGGAAAATGAAGAAAGACACAGAATGACTTGAAACAGACAAAAGAAGAAAATGTGACCACCAAGAGGAAAAATGGAAAAACACATAGAATTACTTGAAACAGACAAATGAAGAAGAAACATGGAGAACGACATAGAAGGACACTTGAAACACACAAAGCAAGAATTCGTGACCGCCAGAATGGAGAAATGCATATCGAATGACTTGAAACAAACAAAAGAAGAAAACGTGACCGCCAAGAGAAAACATGGAGGAAGACACATCTTGAGTGGTTCGAGGGTGGGGTGGGGAAAAGCCACAAGCAGAGGTTAACAAACGGTTAACAAAATTAGGTGCTTCTTCTTTTGATGTTCCCCGGTGACCGCGTCTCTTCTTGGGCACTTGGACAACTCCATGACAGAAGGGAGCGGGGATAGGGGAACGCCGCAGAATGACTCGAAACAGAAGAAGAAAACGTGACCGCCAAGAAGAAAGATGGAGAAAGACACAGACTGACTTGAAACAGACACAAGAAGAAACCATGACAGAAGGGAGTGGGGATGGGGGACTCTGTCATGGAGCGGTCCAGGGTCCAGGAGCCCAAAGAGAGGCACGGTCACCGAGGAACTTTCAGTCGCACCAAAAAAGAAACACCTAATTCTAATTTTATTATCCTTATGTTTTTGTTTGTTAAACCCTCTGTTTTTGGCTTTTCCACTCCACCCTCGAACCACTCACGATGAGAAAGACTAGGAGGGGCTTGCTGGGGCGCTGATTGCTTACATTCTGGATTTTTGTTTTGCTTGATGGGGTGCTGATCTAAAGTTCCCCGGTGACCGTGCCTCTTTTTGGCCGTTTCGTTGGTTGTTTTGGCACGCTTCAAGCTGCCTGGCTTCCACATGGTTGCTTTGGAATTAGTGCCTCGGTGACCGCGCCTCATTTTTGAAAGTTCTCCGGTGACCGAGGCTCTTTTTGGCTCCCACCCTGCGAAGCCCTCATCTGGCCCAAACCCAGGTTTTCAAGCCCAAAATGGGGGTGTGGGCCAGAAGAGGCGCTCAAGGAGGGGTGGGGGTGAGGAGGGGGGGGGGGGGGGGGGGGGGGGGGGGGGGGCGGGGGCAGGGGGGGGGGAGGCAATGGCAACGGTTTTTTTGCCAATGGCAACGGGTTTTTGGCCACTCGGCCACTTGCCAATGGTCACGGCTTTTTTGCCAATGGCCACGTTCCCCATGAAGGTTGGGGGAGTATTCTGTGCGAATTGGGTGCGAAAAACCCATTTTGGCGACCAGCCTTAATGATATTGGTGGCCACGGCTTTTTTGCCAATGGCCACGTTCCCCATTAAGGTTTACATAAATAACTACATATTTATGAAAGAAAGGGTTTAGGGTTTAGGGTTTAGGGTGAGGTTCTTGTGTTGGGGGGCTTTCAGATATACAAGGAAGGCATGGCGGACTGCTGCATGACAACTTTCCAGACATGATGTCCTTTTTTGCTATTGAGCGTGTAGCCGAGGATGTTCTTTGTGCCATCTAATTCACCATCTGTTGGAACAGTATTCGGGTAGTTCCCAAAATAGGGGGAAAGGGTACCGCTAATTTCGGAAACCCCGTATGGCTAGTGGAGGTTTATGCTTGAAACTTTGGTGAGTTGAGAGCGCTTTGTCCAAGTGCAGCCAGCCTGTGGAGGACGCCAGAATCTGCTGGAAGCCAGCAGAAGCCACACCCTGCCGGTTGAAAAAAGCCAAGATTCGGCACTCAGAAGCGCAACTGGGCAGTTCCCAGCTTAACCCCCCTTGGAAGCATTTCAGATAGACCTGCCATCGGCACGGCTCACCATGCCTGAACGTGCACACCCCTGCTTGTGATCAGTGGCTAATAAGCAGATTAGAGGAATGGAGTGATCGGTTGTTGCTGGCTCCAGACTTGCAAGGTGGGTCAGTGTGGTGTATGAGTGCATGTCTGGAAAGGTTGGCTGGTCCTCTCGTTCCTTCATTCCGCCGCGCATTCCAACTTGAAAGGGCTCGCCTGCCTTGGCTCTGTCTTTCCTCATCGGCTTCCTTTGCGGGGTTGCTGTGCATGTGTGCAGTGGAACGTGTCTTTGCTTCACCGGTAACACAGGGTTTAGGGTTTTAAGGATGAGAGTTTAGTGTCTAAGGGTTTCGGGTTTGAAGGTTTTATGACTTAAGGTTTTGGGTTCTAGGGCTTCATGAGGGTTTTAGGATGTTTTTTCTTTTCCTGGCGTAGTCTCCCATTCTTTTCTCATTTCCTGGTCCTTCGCGACCTTTTTTAGCTCGAGCAACTTTGCGATCCTGTCTTGCCCTCGCTGCCTCCCCCTGCCATTCTTTCAGGCGCCCTCGGCTTGTTGTTGCCTTTTTTTGTGTTGGGTTTTTGTGAGTTCTTTGTTACCGGGTGACAGGTATGGCGAAGCTCATGGCGGTTTGTGCGGGTTTCGCGACCTGCTGCGGCGAAATGGGTTCTGAGTTGGTTAGTCTGCTCCCAGGTCCTGCTGCTGCTCCCCAACGTCTCTTGGATGTTTCATAAAGGGTATGTCTTTCTTCGGGTCTGTATTTGGTGTGTTGTGGTACTTCGGATTCGGGGGACCATATGTTTTTCTCGCAACTGAGGCCGTGGCGATGCAGTCGGATGAGGAAAAGGTGTCTGAACTGCATGAAATGCATGGTTTTGGGGTGAGTGCGAGTTTGGAATCCATCTGAGGTCGTCCTTGATGGCCCGTCCTTAGCAACTTTGCTCGGTTTAACGTGGGGGTTTTGTTAGTTTGCGGTGTATATGTTTGTTGGTTGGCGTTGCTACTTCCGTTATGAATGAGGAGCCTGCGCCCCTGGCGCCGGGT